TTTACCGCCTTCGTCATTTCCGAGTGTGATTATAGAATTCTCAGCATGCTCACTTACCCCCGGATTAGTGCCATCTGAGCCTCGTAGCTTCAGCTTTGAAAAAAAAAAGATGAAATCAATAAAAGTAATGGAAATTCTCAAAAACTATCTTTGCAGTGAGCGTGCTCACATACAACTTTGTGCAATGTCAGCCGTGTAGCTCTAATTTTACAAAGAATAGAAAAATCGACAAAAATAATAGGTTCTTCTAAGAACACTTATTACAATCGTAATCGGCATGCTCGCTTTCTCCCATGTGCCAAATCCCAGTTCCTGGCTTAAACTTTGCAAAAAATCGATAAAGCTAGTGAAGGTAAGTGACAAGTTGTAAAATAAGAATGTGCTCGTGAGCAGCATGCTCAATTACCTGCCTGTACCAATCCCCAACGCCATAGTTCAAACATTGCAAAAAATCAATTAAACCAATAGAAGTAAGGGGTATTTTCTGAAATGTTATGATATTCGTAATCAGCATGTTCCCTTACCCCCGTATGCCAACAGTCACGTAGTTCAAAATCTGCAGAAAAATCGATAGAATGATAAAAGTAATGGGTATTTATGAAAACGGTTATCATATTCGTAATCAGCATGCTCGATTACCCCCGCGTGCCAAACCCCAGCCCCGTAGCTTGAACCATGCAAAAAAATCGATAAAATGATAAAAATAACTGATAATTCTAAAAGCTATATTGTATTCGTAATCAGCATGTTCGCTTGTCCTCCTGTGCCAACTCCCAGCCCCGTAGCTTGAACTTTGCCAAAAAATCGATAAAATGATAAAAATAACTGATAATTCTAAAAACTAATACTGTATTCGTAATCAGCATGCTCGATTACCCCCGTGTGCCAACTCCCAGCCCCGTAGTCCAAAATTTGCAAACAAATCGATAAAATGATAAAAGTAATGGGTATTTATGAAAACGGTCATCGTATTCGTAATCAGCATGCTCGATTACCCCCGCGTGCCAAACCCCAGCCCCGTAGCTTAAACTTTGCAAAAAAATTGATAAAATGATAAAAATAACTGATAATTCTAAAAACTAATACTATATTCGTAATCAGCATGCTCGATTACCCCCGTGTGCCAACTCCCAGCCCCGTAGCTTGAACTTTGCCAGAAAATCGATAAAATGATAAAAGTTATGGGCATTTTTGAAAATAGTTATCATATTCGTAATCAGCATGCTCGATTACCCCCGTGTGCCAACTCCCAGCCCCGTAGCTTGAACTTTGCCAGAAAATCGATAAAATGATAAAAGTTATGGGCATTTTTGAAAATAGTTATCATATTCGTAATCAGCATGCTCGATTACCCCCGTATGCCAACTCCCAGCCCCGTAGCTTGAACTTTGCAAAAAAATCGATAAAATGATAAAAATAACTGATAATTCTAAAAACTAATACTGTATTCGTAATCAGCATGCTCGATTACCCCCGTGTGCCAACTCCTAGCTCCGTAGCTTAAACTTTGCAAAAAAATTGATAAAATGATAAAAATAACTGATAATTCTAAAAACTAATACTGTATTCGTAATCAGCATGCTCGATTACCCCCGTGTGCCAACTCCTAGCTCCGTAGCTTAAACTTTTTAAAAAAATTGATAAAATGATAAAAATAACTGATAATTCTAAAAACTAATACTGTATTCGCAATCAGCATGCTCGATTACCCCCGTGTGCCAAACCCCAGCCCCGTAGCTTAAACTTTGCAAAAAAATTGATAAAATGATAAAAATAACTGATAATTCTAAAAACTAATACTATATTCGTAATCAGCATGCTCGATTACCCCCGTGTGCCAACTCCCAGCCCCGTAGCTTGAACTTTGCCAGAAAATCGATAAAATGATAAAAGTTATGGGCATTTTTGAAAATAGTTATCATATTCGTAATCAGCATGCTCGATTACCCCCGTGTGCCAACTCCCAGCCCCGTAGCTTGAACTTTGCCAGAAAATCGATAAAATGATAAAAGTTATGGGCATTTTTGAAAATAGTTATCATATTCGTAATCAGCATGCTCGATTACCCCCGTATGCCAACTCCCAGCCCCGTAGCTTGAACTTTGCAAAAAAATCGATAAAATGATAAAAATAACTGATAATTCTAAAAACTAATACTGTATTCGTAATCAGCATGCTCGATTACCCCCGTGTGCCAACTCCTAGCTCCGTAGCTTAAACTTTGCAAAAAAATTGATAAAATGATAAAAATAACTGATAATTCTAAAAACTAATACTGTATTCGTAATCAGCATGCTCGATTACCCCCGTGTGCCAACTCCTAGCTCCGTAGCTTAAACTTTTTAAAAAAATTGATAAAATGATAAAAATAACTGATAATTCTAAAAACTAATACTGTATTCGCAATCAGCATGCTCGATTACCCCCGTGTGCCAACTCCCAGCCCCGTAGCTTGAACTTCGCCAGAAAATCGATAAAATGATAAAAGTAATGGGCATTCTTGAAAATGGTTATCATATTCGTAATCAGCATGCTCGATTACCCCCGTGTGCCAACTCCCAGCCCCGTAGCTTGAACTTTGCCAGAAAATCGATAAAATGATAAAAGTTATGGGCATTTTTGAAAATAGTTATCATATTCGTAATCAGCATGCTCGATTACCCCCGTATGCCAACTCCCAGCCCCGTAGCTTGAACTTTGCAAAAAAATCGATAAAATGATAAAAATAACTGATAATTCCAAAAATTAATACTGTATTCGTAATCAGCATGCTCGATTACCCCCGTGTGCCAACTCCTAGCTCCGTAGCTTAAACTTTGCAAAAAAATTGATAAAATGATAAAAATAACTGATAATTCTAAAAACTAATACTATATTCGTAATCAGCATGCTCGATTACCCCCGTGTGCCAACTCCTAGCTCCGTAGCTTGAACTTCGCCAGAAAATCGATAAAATGATAAAAGTAATGGGCATTCTTGAAAATGGTTATCATATTCGTAATCAGCATGCTCGATTACCCCCGTGTGCCAACTCCCAGCCCCGTAGCTTGAACTTTGCCAGAAAATCGATAAAATGATAAAAGTTATGGGCATTTTTGAAAATAGTTATCATATTCGTAATCAGCATGCTCGATTACCCCCGTATGCCAACTCCCAGCCCCGTAGCTTGAACTTTGCAAAAAAATCGATAAAATGATAAAAATAACTGATAATTCCAAAAATTAATACTGTATTCGTAATCAGCATGCTCGATTACCCCCGTGTGCCAACTCCTAGCTCCGTAGCTTAAACTTTGCAAAAAAATTGATAAAATGATAAAAATAACTGATAATTCTAAAAACTAATACTGTATTCGTAATCAGCATGCTCGATTACCCCCGTGTGCCAACTCCTAGCTCCGTAGCTTAAACTTTTTAAAAAAATTGATAAAATGATAAAAATAACTGATAATTCTAAAAACTAATACTGTATTCGCAATCAGCATGCTCGATTACCCCCGTGTGCCAACTCCCAGCCCCGTAGCTTGAACTTCGCCAGAAAATCGATAAAATGATAAAAGTAATGGGCATTCTTGAAAATGGTTATCATATTCGTAATCAGCATGTTCGATTACCCCCCTGTGCCAACTCCCAGCCCCGCATTTCAAAATTTACAAATAATCGATAAATTTGGTAGAAGTAATAACAAGCTTCCATGCTAGAAAATGACAAACACGAAAACACCATCGAGGACCTACAGACAGCATCAACAAGCATGCTTATCCACCAGCGTACAGACAAGCCACCAGTGTACAGACAAAATCCCATTCGGTTTTATATATATAGAAGGATAGGAAAGAGTTACGAAGGAGAATCAGTTTTCGAACTGCTTTAGAAAACGAGGAGTTCAGCGTAAATGTACTTTTGCTATCAAAGCATTAGGATTTCAAATTTGCAACCATTTGCATGGCCGTGGAAATAAAATCCAAACGATCTGGACTGCCCAATATGGGCAGTCCAGATCGCATAGATTTTCCACGGCCATTTACGGGCAAATGCCTAAAATTACATTTTTGGCTGCACCATGAACAAGGTCATAGTTTTGTTTGTGGCTTGCACAGCTTGAAAACGAAACTTGGAACGTGAAAATTTTCGTGAAAGTTGACGTAATAAGGACGTAAAAGTTTTCATTACCAAAAGATTATTTTAAAATCATATGTGATAACAGAGGTTCGATACTAACCTTCCACAATAAAGCTTACAATTAGCTAAATAACAGCTGCTTGAAACCTTGTAGAGCTTTGAAACTGTACGTTAAAAATTTATCCATCAGCCATCCTAACATCTTCTAGAGAGCGTTCCCCAAATTTGGATAGCAGGTCTGCAATCAACTCAAAGGCGATTCTGGTAGTAAACGTCTTTTACCACTTCGAATTTACGATGGTATCCTCGCCTTGCAATCATTGCCCTAGTCCCAGACGACAAGATATTCTGAGACGACTTTGGTCATCGGCTTGGGTAGTCGGTAGCAGCCGAGTTCGAAGCTGTACAGCGCAGCCTAGGAAAGTATCGGAAATCTTATTTTTGCGGTGAAAGGAAGCTTTTCGCGTTTTTTGGGCGAAAAGCTCTCAAACTTAGCAATCCAGGTCACCTATGCCTGCTGCATCTAGTTTTTAAACGTTTTTTGCCTTGGAATCTACTTTTGCAGGGCAATCAACTTCGAAGACTTAAGTAAAATTCCACTAATATATCTAAGTAAAATCCCACTAATCGCATCGAATCCGAGCACTCCCGACTTTATGCGGGCGGTTGCTTGAGTGCTCAATCGGTAATGAAATAATCTCGAAAAGAGGCCCAACACCGTACCCCATAATTGATCGTTCTTGTGCATATGTGTCTACATTGGAAATTCTTGATGATTTGTTAGTAGCTTCGTCTCGTTGCCTGAAAACTCACCAAACCTACAGCAGAGACGGCGACGGACCCGGAAGGTGAACATTCGTAAAATATCAGCTGTTCCAGCTCAAGCATGATTCCACGGGTGCATCGAAGGATTGCTGGCTTTTCGATGAAAGAACTGGCTCACTTGTGGTAGCAAGTCGAGATGTATGTCCTTTATAGATCTTCATAGCGCTTACCTCTTTATCCTCTTCACCTACAGATGGTATTCTTCTACGAAGCCGACCAGTGCACTGATTCAGACGGTTACCGTGGTCGATGCCTTCAGCTAGGCAGAAGCCACGAAAAGCTTCAACTTCTCTCTCTAGGCGAACACGTGGTTCTTCTTACAAAGCAACATGCTCTAATACCGTAATTTTTTGGCAATTATTCTGCATCTGGTTATCTGGGCTTTTTGTTGTTAGTGGAGTTTGCTTGCTAGATCTCAACTAAGTCATTATCCGAGCAGCAACTTACGTGATTTACTCGTAGCCGAAAAATTCAATTCTGTACTTTTGGGTGTTACAGTCGAGGCTGAGGTCGGTTTGGAAAAAGTAGGAATGGGCGGGAGTTTGGAGGTTTTCGGTTTGAATATGAGATTCCGTTGGCAATGAATTGAGTCCCTGACCAGATTTCACACGAGAAGCCCAGACTCTAGATCTCACGCTACTCTGCGATCAGTTTTTTTTTCCATCACCTCATCTATTCGTAGATCAAACGACGAGACCGAGTTCATGTCTATGGTCACCGTGTATAATGTAAAGGGACAGTATATCGGTTTTTCATGCTCACTTCCCTCTTTGTGCAGGTACTTATAGATCAATACTGCTCTAAGGGAACTGTGTCTATTATCAGAGTCTCATTTGCAGATTGTTCACTCTCGATCAATCTTTGTTGATTTTGGGCAAAGACGGCACTTTGTCTGAGTTGACAGAGAAAAATTTGAGCGCAAAATTGGACATTCTGTTCAAGAAAAACCTCTACGATGTTGCCGTCATGTGAGTCAAAAATTAAGGGTCATTCGATTGTTTGTGTATTGTAGTGTTGTCAATAATTTATTTGAAGCGACGCTGTTTTTTCTGTTATATGTCTGAGAATTTAATTGAAATGTTTTTGGTTTTTTCTTTGAATTTTGTAACTGTCAGCTTTTCAAAGTTTCGCTGTCTTAAAAGTTTTGAGCGTGAGCAACGGTCACTGATTTAATTCTTGCGTTTCAGTCTAGCGAAGAGCAGCAGAGACGGTGCTGAGCATCTGAAGTCGATTCATGCTAAATATGGTGACTATCTCTACGGGTAAAAATTTTTACCATTTTTCTATTTCTCACTTAAAATGTCAATTTCTAGAAAAGGTGACTTTGACAATGCAGTCAGCGAATATAAGGAAACGATAGGAATGTTAGAACCATCGTACGTCATTAAGAGGGTAACCTAATCCGCTGACTTATAGGTAACCTTTTTAGAATAATCTTTTCAGTACCTTGATGGATCTCGTTTACGACAGTTGTGCGTTTATCTCGAGGCTTTACACGACACTGACCGATACACCCTATATCATACTAATATCCTCTTAAATTGTTATGCACAATTGGAGGAGAGGAAAAAGATACAGCGGTTTCTGGAGAAAATAGCACTTGATGGCAGAACAGATATGTCAAGCATATTTGAGGTAAGTTTCCTCTGTTGTGATAGTGATTCCTGTCAGTGGCGCGAGATGGAGATTTTTGATAGGCGCAAATATACTCTTTCTCAATCTACCTTCCCTTACCCTCCTCCCCCGCCCCCTCTCCTCCAAATGGGTTACATACGTGTAGGTTACTATTCGCGAGTGAAAACTGTTTTCACAACTCGATGATTGTACCAGTTTTGCATAACATCCTTTTTGGGGTCTCTTTGATTTTCCGTAATTCTACGGCCATCAGATCTGAGAAGCATTAGAAAGCACCTAAAACAATTTATGTTTCACCATGCCCTTTTTCTCTCACCTTCTCCACTTCTTCGCATAGATTTTCTGCGACTGCCGCTAATATGTCAGGTTGTCACAGAGTTCCTGTTTTATCTGAAGAGGATGCAATACTTTTTCAAATTCATATCCATTGTTTCATACTCTAAAAAGAGAAAAGTTCGCCCTTCACAACGTAATTTAACCGCCCTTCTTTTGGGGTGCCTTGGAGAGAAAAGCTTCTAAAACAGCACCGCACTTCGGAATTCTTGATTTTGGATCTGATCTTGGAAGCAACTTTAGTATTTTTTCATTCTGTTTGTGGGGACCCAATCTAAATTTCTAAACTTCAGCTGACTTTTGCAGCTTTACCCCTCCATAGCTAGCCTATAAAGAGCTCTGATCATCCCTACCGAGCGCAGATCATCTCTTATCTTTAGAATTCGATCCATGGATGCAGTACACTCTTTGAAAAGTTATTTGATTGCATTCGGATTAGGCAGAATTGACTTAGTATGGTTATATAATAGTTCAGTTGAAAACTGACCTTTATGGATATTATTGTTGATGAGCTTTGATAGGCTGATCATATTCATCTTAACCTTAACCGTTTGAAGGTTCTGCGATCTCTGAAGATGTCGGAAGATGCAAGTCTTCTGGCTGTGAAACTGAACATGCACGACCACGTGCTTTCAATGATGATAGAAGATCTTGGACGGCATGCCACCGCTCTGAAATATATTGGGAAACGCCCACCGGATGAGGTAGTCAGTATTTTTTTGAAGATCCCTGAGTTCGTGTGTATTTTAGGCTTGTCAATATATTGAAAAATATGGACGTCTTCTTTTCGAAGCTTGTCCTGACGAAACAATGGATTTACTACAACGTCTCATAGAAACCTCACCTGGAAGTAAGGGCTCTCAAGATTGTGACTAGAGACGCATTCAAGATCACGACGCCTGCAGAACATTTTGTGAGCAAAGAAAAAAAAAAAGCGGCATTTCTTATATCATTGAAAATCGAAAACTAGAAGGCGAATTCGTGGGTCTACCTCTCTCCTTCCCCTCCTCACCTCTTTTTCCTTCCTTCGTGAAAAAAATCTAGTTCACTCAGTTATTTAATTGTGTATATCTGTGTAAGTAACTTGCTTTTTTCATGCACATGAATATTTTTTCAACTGTTATAAAAATGCTAGCCAGAAATTTTGTCGCGGAGAGTTAGACTGACACATGGCCCCTTTATCTTGATTTTTTTCTTTCTACCTTCTCAAAAAAGTATTTGTGCTACCATCACTGGGAAGCAAAATGTGTTGTGGGACACTACATACTTACATTGATTGTAAATGCAATTTTTTGAAGCTTCTCGTTATAGCGTCATGCTTTGGTCACTATTTCTTGAATGCATTCAACTTTTCTACAAAAAAGTGGAATAGATAGACTTCTCAAGTATCACTTACAAGTTCAGGCATTGATCCTGCACAACTCCTGAAAGTGTTCATCACTGACTTTACAAAGAGTGCGGCATTCATAGAATTTGCTCTCAGAAGGGTAATCATTTGTATTTGCCTTTTTTTCCATTCAGCGCCTCACTCTTAGGTTTCGGGAACATCTCGCTCCATTCTTTTGGCTACGATCTTGGAATTGCGCCTACGAGATTATGCCGAAGGCAATATCGTAAGCATGACTGTAGTAATGCTTTGACGAGCTTCTCAATTTCGTATTCAGGAAGATGCTAAATGTGAAGAGCTGCTCTTCCCATTTATAGAGGAAGAGAACATGGCTGAAGCGCTACACCTCGCAAGAGTTTTCCATTGCTTCCCCGTTGTGCAGTATGTTCTGAAGAAAATGGGAAGGTAAGGAGTGTTCAAGTTAGGTTTGATAAAATCTCTAATACTTCAGAACGAAAGAGTTGATACAGTACTACCTGAAGAACGACAAGATCAGGGAAGTTGTGGAATTGTGCAAAATTGAGAAGTTCGTTTTGATGTGGAACTGTGAGTTTGTATCTCTGCGATAAAGGCGAGCATTTCCAGTAAATCGGACATGTGGATGGATCTGCTGGTTTATATCTCGAAGAAGGAGGGACCTGTGGATGAGAAATTGGTACAAGAAATGTTAGCCGGGTGAGCACTAACTTTCCGTTTTTCTTAGTCGCGCACATGATAGCTCATGATCTGTTCAAAAAAAGGCGCACCTCTCACCGAAATGCACTATCTATGCGTAGCGACTCCACATCTCGGTTCAGAGTGCAGGGCTTGTGAACGCATAAACACCATTCAACTCAAAATCAGTCCAACGAGCGCATCTATTTAAAGGGTTGTCTCATCAGTATCATCTCAAACGGCTATTTTGAAGGAAAGGTCTTTATAATTCATTTTGAAAACCTAGAGGGGCTGGGCTTCTCATGGGTTGCTTTGGTATATCTGCTGCTCTGTCGAATAAGGCACTCAACAGCGTTGAACTAATCCTAATAAGCGATAGTATATGTGCTTGCGATATCGATTTACTTATGTATTTAGAATGAGGTTTGTAGGGAAGGCGTAGTTGCCTTTGTGGCGTAATTTCCCATTCAAGGCCAGCTGTCGTTATTGTTTGTCATGTTGCTGTGATTGCTTGAGCGATTCAGTCCGCTTTTGACACAAATCAGCCTATTATACGTCCATCACTTTCTCACGAAAAAACCAAATCCTGAGAATGATAGGCTTTGCTTTGCACATACACTTTGGCAGATCGTGACATTTTATAGCTGCAGCGTTTAATGCGCACGTTCAAGCATGAGAAAGACACTGAAAACATGAACATGAAAAAAAAGTGTTTCCGTAATGGTTTTGGGTAATGAAAAGCTAGCGTCTATCACCGTGAGGAAGGCAGTTGTGAGAACCGTGGCGATGCGAATGCGCATCTTTCCAATTCAGGCTTGATGCAGATTGATTTAATGATAGATTATATCAATCTGCATCAAGATTATAATATAGATTGATATACGTAGCTTACGCGAGTATGAAATACTTTATCACGTTAGAGTTAGACTCAAAATGTGTAAGTTGGTCCAAAGTCTCAATCATTACGCGATCAAGGCTAGCCAAGAACTAGCATAAAAAAGTATAGAAGTTCTTTCTTGTAAAAAAGATTTATGGAAGCTTGAATCTGAGGACTGGCATCTGTCATTTTTGAGATTTCTACGTGCTCTCTTGTGTAGTTGGTGCCTTAAAGGCAGTGGACCAGAAAAATTGCGACTGCGCTAGGATTGAGTCCCGCACTATGCATGAAATCCCTCAAAGTTGTCAAGAAAATGCTTTTTACGCCGTGGAGATAGCTGAAGAAGATGGGCGAGGGATTCCCGGCTTAAACAGCGTCTGGCTGCAAGAGAGTGTAACTCCACCTATATTGGCGGCAATTGGCTGACCGGCTCAGGCAGCCAATCGCGACTCATTCGGAGGAATCGCTCGTCTAGGGTTCATATGAATAGCAGAACTGTGTAAAAATTCTTGCTGCTTTTGCTTTGTCTGAGGTTCTTAGATATTTCTATTCTATTGGCTGATTGGCTCAGACAGCCAATTGCGAGGTGGTGAGAATCTCTTGCCTATCCCCTCCAGCTATCTCTACGGTAGAAAACGCCGTAAAAAGCACTTTTCAATATTTCAAGCCAGTACTGGACTCAGCGCATCCAGAAGGCCATGTTGGTGTGCAAAGCTCGCAATTTTCCCGAGCTACTGCCTTCAAAATTCAAACTCGCTTAAGAATCATCTTTAAGGATTGAGGCGAGCGGAAGTTTACATCCATTGGTGGTGCTCGAAATCCTCTCACGCAGCAGTACGCTCAAGGTAGCAGCGGTTAAGCAGTATGTTATCAAGTGGTTGGATGCTCAGAAAAAGCAGGTATGTTGAGAATATGATGGCATTGCAGACAATGTACAAAAGCGGAACTACAGCGCCCAAATTCAGTACTTTTTTGTGGAAATTGTTCGAGGAGTGCTTAGTAATTGTAAGCCATTGCCCAAGCAGCAGCTCATATGATATATTTGAAGCCGAGGAATCCATATCCAGTTTAAGCAGGCGTTACTCTTTCCAAGCGTATCAATCAGCGTTTTCGAGTACAGTACCCAAACGGTCCGCTTGTGAGGAGCACGCTTTGGGTTTGGGTCTAGGGATGGTTTACGCGGCTGAGGGTATCATTTGCGTTGACGCTTCGACACTGCTTGATTAGATTCCCAACAAGCATTGTTGAGTTCGCATAAAAGCACGAAATTATAGTAAGCCATTAGTGCAAGTAGACCAGGCTTATTTCATCTTATTTCATCGTGTCGAATTTTCTCGTTCACAGCTTGGTTTTAGATCGAATCTGATCGGAAGGCTATCTCTGAAGGTGAGAAGCGAATGCAGGAAATCGACAAGCAAATTGAATCGCTCAAATTCAAGTTAGTTCTTCAAGCCGAATAACACATTACCCCCTTTTGATCCTCTTTCATATCCCTTCCTGATCCTTTTTTTTCAGTGTTCAAGTACTGCAAGTCAATAAATGCAGTGCATGTGATACGGTGCTTCAGCTGCCAGCTGTTCATTTCCTTTGTCGACATAGCTATCATGTGCACTGTTTTGAGTCATACAGTGAAAAACCGGATGTTTGTCCTGCTTGTGCTGTACCCTCTGCTAGGTATATCGATATCGATTTTGAAAATACGTCAGGAATGCGACACTAGTAATCTTGACTTAACTGATTTTAGAGAGGAAATGAAGGAAAATATGGATGGCAAATCGGCTTATACTAAGTTCCATGACGAGGTATGAAACTTCTTTATACTGCGTTGTAGCATAAGACTGAAGGAAAAAGTCCCTGATTGGTATTTTTCCTATCAGTCTCAAAGGCAGTGGCTCGGGAGAATTGCAACTGCGCGCTTTCCGTTCCTTCTTGGCCTTCTAGATGCGTTCGGACCAAAAAAGGGCTTGAAGAGTGAAGAAAGTGTTTTTATGGCGTTTTCCGGCCTCGGAGATTTCTGAGATTTCTGAGGAGGCTAGAGCGGAGAATCCCGCCAAAAACAGTGACTGGCTGCAGGAGACTGTAACACCACTCGTTCTGGCGGCGATTGGCTGGTTGGCTCAGTCAGCCAGTCGCGACTCGGCTGCGGGGATCTTCGCCCCAGCCTCCTCCAGAAAACTTCATAAAAAACACTTTCTTTAGTCTTTAAGCTTTTTTTGTCTTAAACGCATCCAGAAGGAGAATGAACAAAAATCCCGAGCCACTAGCCTTTAAGGAGTCTGTGGAAAGTAGCGCGTTTCGATTTTTCCATCTCAGTCGATTCTTTCCAGTTGAACAAAGCCTCAAACGGAATGGATGTGATTTCAAAATACTTGAGAAATGGCTTGTTTGATCCACCGAGGAAAAACGTCCAGAAGAAGGTAAGCGATGAGGATTGAGGAAACAAATTTGCGAATAAATTGCATAACCGTCAACGTAAAAAGTATAGGACTACAGGTGACAGCATGAAAAATGTTGCTTGTTTGTTCATTCGAAACAAACTGAGTTTGGTCCCCAAGGGAAGATTTTCATAGGCCATGATATCAAGGCCCCAAGTTTGCGTTCCTCTTGGCGATCTCGGATTTATTTGAATGTCGCGAATCCTATCTAAGGATGGCCCAACATCTATTTTTGCTCTGTTTCTAGAATGTTCCTTGGTGCATGCTCGTAATTGTAGAAGTGCCAAAAGTTCAGCTAGTAGTCAAAGCAAGATCAATTTTTTAAGTTGCTTTTCTCTCTATTGGTAGTCTTTTTGCTCCCCACTTCATTTTTTCATGACTCGATCTTTGTCAGCCTCACCAGGGTGCTCACTTTCAATTTCCTAATCTCGAATGGGCGCTGTTTCCCGTCATAAACAAGCGGTTGATCGGGATGGTGCTCATTCATAATTGTAAAACAGCGCCCAGTTGAGATCAGGAACTTATAAAGTACCTCAGATCGTACATTTTTTTGTTGCAGAGCCCAGCGGTAGCTTCAGCTAAAAAACGAGGATCAAATCCGTTTGAAGACGACGAGCTCAACCCATTTGCTGAATCCACCACTGGTAGTAGCGCATCTTCTGAATCGACACTTCCGCGACTTTCGCCATATTCTACGATATCCGAACGTCGCACTTATGATGACTCAAAAAATCCGTTCGCACAGAGTACGAACCCATTTGATGAGTAGCCGAGTGTATAATAAGAATGTGCACATTTATCTGGGTTCTATCCTTTGCAAGTGGCATTAAAACCATTAAACGATGTTTCGTTTCAACGTCTCACTTATTAATTCTTGACATCCAAGCTTGTTTCTTTATGCAACTGCGACATTGTTCTGACTGTGATATCATACTGATGAGGAAAATGTTATGATGTAAAATTTTATTCCCGTATTTTATTGATTCATTATCACTTTGATAAATTGTCACCGATATCGTCCTTGTATTCATTGGTGCCTGAAAATCTTTTGTATATTCGAGAATTCTATGACAACATACACAGAATATTGACAAATTTTGTTCAGTGTAGAGATACAGTTTCTTCCATATAAATATTTTTTCGATTATCGCTTCTAGCAAGCGATTAGACGTAATATTTGATTCAAATGGATGATAAAGTCATTCTTCCACCACGCCTAAGGCTTTGAAGAGTACTTGAGAATCAATATAGATGGAGATAGAGTAGTACCAAAATTTTATATTTAGATTCATTTTTGTCTGGCTGGATTCAATGAAACTCAGCTAAATCTTGATGTTTTGTAGAACCAAATATCTTCTTGCTAATAATCAAAACACAATTACATAGACCACCAAGAGTCAACAGCCTCAAAAACAATATTTTTGGTGACGCTAGTTATCTTACAGCCGTTGAAGTGTGTGCAAGAGACAAGCAAAAACAAAATCTGGTTTTTCTAGCGAGATTTGAAGCAGGCAGAATTTTCAGAAATTCAGAAAAAGGAAGCAGATCGGCTTTAATATGTCTGTGTTTTCTCATGCTTTTGCTGACAAAGACGATTCTGCAGACTATACCGCTAAAAGTGCGTCATTTCCACACTGCTGATTTCTAATTTATAAATTCGTTTTTACCTTCGCTTGCTAGGCTATTTATCCTCTCATATTTGAAGGTCAAGCTAATAATGCCTCAAGTTCGACAATCATTTCATCGTTTCGCTTAGACAAGGTCATCTTTTCGGCATAGACAGTTCTCACGATAATTTGGCTTTTTATATCTATCAGAAACAATTCGATAAAACCTCCAAGCTGCGCAGACATTAAAAGTGCATATGATCGTAAATTTAAAAAATCATGAATGATGGACCGGTTTTGAATGAGGGTAATAGATGACCGTCGGCTGAGATGAGTATCGAAATCTTGAGCACATTCTTTTCTTCACCTTGTGATAAGATCTCGAGGTAATGGAGCCGTTCGATACAAATTAGCCTGTATTCAAATGGCTACTAACAATAAATCTGACAGTGAGATGGAAGTAATTTTAGGTTGGTTCGGGTAATGAAGGGTTTGTTCTTGATCAACTGTAAGTTTGCTTGGCCCATGTTTCAACCTTTTGGTCATTTCCAACTTTCTACTTGGTGATTGTGTTGTGGACTTGAGACATCGAATTTTAATGCTTACCTCAAAAGCCACCTGCTCGATTCCACCATGGTCGACCTGCACAAAGAATAAATTTTTACTTTACAACAAACAATGGATAGTCTCACCTCCCCAGGCGCCTGATCCACCCCAACCGCCGTATCCATTCCAGCCGCTTCCACCGCGACCGCCACGTCCACCCCAGCCTATAAAAACGAATGATTACATATCGACATAGCTTGTTTGAATTCATTTGTATGCTTTAATTTTGTCTCATTGTCAGATATAATGGTGAACATTCAGTGGGTTTGAGATGAGACTCATTTGGAAAAGCGTTGACAGAAATCGATAATATGCCTACGAATTTTCTTTTGAAAGAATGATGTTAACATAGTGATTGCGAAACGTTTATTCATACAGTAGGGCTTTACATTCAGTTTGACTGAGGGTGCGCTTTGGGTCAAATTGTGAGAAAAAGAAAGTGCCTTCCGAATGTGTTTTTGAACAGTTAAGAAGGGATTTGTTGTACGAAGTCTTAATTGGAATTTGTAGGTGAATAAAAGAAGAAACAATTCTCACCTCCTGGTCCTCCCCATCCGCCGCCGCCGCCTCGGCCGCCTGGTCCACCCCAGCCGCCGCTCTGTCCTCCTGGACCTCCCCAGCCGCCCTGTCCTCCTGGACCTCCCCATCCGCCTCCTCGTCTTCCTGGACCTCCCCAGCCGCCGCCAGCACCACCACCCGGGCCTCCTCTCCCGCCTGGGCCGCCTCGTCCTCCTCCGCTTCCGCCTGAGCCTCCTTCCCAGCCACCGTCGGGTCCTCCTCGTCCTCCGGCGCCTCCGCCTGGGCCTCCTCCTGCTCCTTCCCAGCCTCCGCCGGGTCCTCCTCGTCCTCCGGCGCTTCCGCCTGGACCTCCTCCTGCTCCTTCCCAGCCTCCGCCGGGTCCTCCTCGTCCTCCGGCGCTTCCGCCTGGACCTCCTGCTCCTTCCCAGCCACCGCCAGGACCGCCTTGTCCTCCTCTGGGTGGTGCTCGTGCTGAAATAGGTAACTCATTTTCATAAAGTGTGGAAGAATTTTCAGCACAGACCTTTTCCGCGGTCATCCTCTCCCCAATCACCGCCACCGTTTTCAGGTTGAGGACCACCACCTGGCTTACGGTCGCTCCATCCTCCTGCAACTTGACCACTTCGTTCGAATTGATTCTGAAGTAGAGAAAGCAGATTTCTGACCTTGAAGCACTTCATCTCCCCAGCCGCTACCGGCTATATCATTTGGGTCACCCTGTAATCAAATTGATTTAGGTCTATTCGTCAAGTTAATGATCAGGTTGGGCCACAAGGAGTGCACCAAAATATTTGAGAAGTTACTAATTCTGGCCCTAGAGCATTTGTTCAAACTCATGACCTTACGGAAAAATCATAAGCTTTTTGAGAGTGCTCAAAGCAAAATCAAAGCGAAGCGCTCAGACTGTGTTTTTTTGGAAATTTTTCAAGATTTTTGTTCTCTAAAACTGTTGGAAACTTCAATGTAATACAGCTTCATTATAGATTGTAGTTACCAATTTACTTTTCCTAATTGAGTTAGAATTATAGTAACTTTTTTCCTACTATTAATTTAAAAATTTCAACTTATATCGCGCGACATTTCGAGTTTGTTTCAAGTAAAGTCTTTTATATGCATGGTAAAAAGAAGCAGTTGTTATATGTTACAAAAATATAATACTGAAATCGACTTTTTGAATACCCTTGAAATTTTATAGCATTTTTGGTGGCAAACATGTAAACCAACCTATCACCAAGTGATCTTCAAAGGCTTGAAAATGTGTGGCTTCTACTATCCAATCATCTACAGCGTAAATTCATACAAGATAAGCGGAGTTCATGGAGTATCAGATCCAAACTATCACTGGTTCTTTTTCAGAACCAAAGTTTTGATGAAAATAAATCTCATAAGCGCTTGATGGGTATCATGCATATCAATGTTCAATGACCTCAGTAAAGAAATTGTTTTCTTCCCTTCCATTCAAATGCAAATTCAAAACCACACCGAGTCAAAATTCCAAGAGATCGTTTACTGTAAAGCATTCGTAGAGAATTTTAGAAGATTGACTTACCGGACGTCCATCGGGTCCCCCGCCACCTGGTCCTCCTGGAGGCCCTGAAAAAGGCGATTTTGAAAAACAGTATGGTTATGGGAGTGAAACCTATGGGTGCAGCCGTGAAGATGCGCGTTATGTCCCAATTATCGGTATGAACCGTAGACAAATGGTCTCTGAACGATTTTGGTCATTGAACGAGCACTAACCTTGAGCCAACGTTGTGTAACAGAGTAGTGCGAGGCCGAGAAACGCTAGTGATCTCATGATTGTGCGTGCTTCAGCGACATAGGCGATTCTCTTATATAGGGCGGTGCTGTTTTGTAGCGCCAGCGGTCCGCGCTCCGCCTCTGCGGACAAGGAAGTTAGCCGAGTGCGGACGAGTTTGGCCAAGATCACAGGAAGCAGAGGTGACTCATGGCAGTACTAGCGCTGAACTATCATCGTGCTCTAGATTTATCATGCTGTTCTTGAATCTATTTTGAACAACATCAAGTTGTTTTAAATTTTGTAAAAAATATTGAAGGGGATAAATCACTTGATTATGCAAGGGCTCCCTACGAGTGTACGCCATGTTTTATCGCTAATAACACCTTTTTTCTAATAGCTGCGTAAATTTAGGTAGCTATTGAGGAATGAACTTCGACTTAGATTTGCACCCAAATGGATCATCAATCTCTCTTCATTACAGTGATAAAAATTTTCGAAATAGTTTTGCCCTAAATGCAAATGTTGCCAAAGAAAACTGTTTAAAAAAATCCCATAACTCTTTTTTTAGGCACTGCTGATTCAATATATGAGCTTTTCATTTCAGCTCAGTCTCTAACGCAAAATGTACGGCTGGTACACCATGACAGTAGTCTTTCCAGTAACTGTAAACTCTAAAACGCTGAATTAAAATTTTGCGTCACAAAGTTTTCAGACATTTCGGAGATTTTTTGAAATGGCAGCTCAGTTGCACTTAAGGCATTTTGCTTCCTACCGTAATGCTACAATAATGAAGAGCGATTGGTATTTCACTTTGTATTATAAGTTTAAGTCAAGTTACTTCTACAGTATGCTACTTAAGAACCAAAAGTTGTTCACACAAGTGAATTTAGCTCAAAAAGATTTCGTGAAAGCTGTTCGGACAAGGTAGTTCAGCGATCAAACGTTCGATACAATCTTTCGGGACACTAGATTTGGGCCTTTGCTTTCTATATTCAAAAGAAGTGATCATTACGGAACAACCAAAAATACTTCTGTGTTCTAATTTCTTGTCGTCTTTGATCCCTTCACTCTAATGAAAAGACTGACTTTTCATATGGCATTAACTTGAAGAACAGAACTAGCAGATTTACGTGGTCTGAATCGTAAAAAGCATTACGCTCCCGCTAAACCCATTATGGGCCATCAGTTTCGCATTAAGCGTCGATAAACTCAGCTTGTGGACGTCTCATCGTCACTGACTTCGTCCGGACCTTAATTCAAACTCAAACAAGAAAATCGCTCATAATTCGGTTCCTGAATTGACTAGGACATGGTTCGCTCTTTTTTGACTGTGCTGTGGTCTCTTGCCTCAAAATCCACATCATTGCCATCTCTATTGAATTACGAACCTTATTTTTATTGCTGCAAATCGTTCAGAAAAATGGAGGGGCCACTTAGAAATGGTGTGTATTTCGCTCTTATGGTCCCACTTATTTAATCTATAGACTTCATGACATGAGTTTGGTTTGAATGCTATAAAAAACGTAGCATCTACTTCACTGGCGTTTATAAGCGGTACAAGCGTTCATAAGCTCATAAAATGAAGTTATATCCCCTTTATAGAAGTAACAACGGCTTCGTTGTTCCTCTAAACCAGAACTTTTGAACAGAAAGTGCTAATGATCAAGCCTTCCACCCGGTGCAAAATATTTTCGGACGACATTTTCACTTGCGACATGATAGTTACTACCATCATTAGTTTAAATCCCAATTAGGACTCGCTCCAGGTGTAACCGTGGTATAGTTCATTTAAAAAATCGAGACGACGGATTTTACTGCGGACTTTGCCCACACAGGCGCATAAAAAGCTCATACAAGAAGGCATCACCTCAACATTTAGCTCAGTCGCTTCCAGTGTCTAAATATTATCTTATATTTAAAGCTGAATGTCTGTTTGTCTGTCTGTCTGTCTGTCTGTCTGTATGTCTGTGTGTACGTATGTTCCGAATAGAATTTCATTTCTGAACCGATCCGGACCAAACTTGGCACACATACACTTCGGGCCCCGGCGGATGTCATAGGCTACTTTTCGTTATCAATCGATATCGAATTTATCGATTTTTTGCAAAATTTGAGCTACGGGGCTGGGAGTTGGCACAGGGGGGTAATCGAGCATGCTGATTACGAATAAAATAATGACAGGGCCGGGCGGAGCCGGGTAAGTCAACTAGTCATACGTAAGCAAAACCATTCCATTAGAATGAAAACCAAAAAATGCAATTTCGAGAAGTGGCGTCCGTGTCGCGCGCGGTCGCGCCATCGTCACGATTTTTCAAATGTCCTATAGTTTGAAACGAAGTCCTTTTTAGTTCTAATCTCTCACAAAGTTTTCTTTGACCTTTTTCTACTCCTTCCCTCATATAAAAAGAAGAACATAAAAGGGGAAAGAGAGATAGAAAGGCAAGCACAATCAACATCGGACTTGTCTTGCTTAGGACGCGCTCTGCGATCGGAGCAGATTGCGCGGCTAACAAAAATATTCTGAGGGCATGAAGAAAGCCTAGAGGGAAGCAACATTTCTTTGCACGTATAAAATCTTCTACGGAGATGGTGCAGTTTATGCGAAATAGTATAAAAATTACATGAGCAAAAGTCGGCTAATTCGGAAAAAAGTTCAGCACGGCATTTACATAAGTCATAAACTTGCAGGCCATAGTTCTGATCCCATTACGCGCATTCACATACCAAATTTGGTGCCATACTATTGCAATTTGGTTCTGAACAACGCTTTGGTGTGTTTGGCATAGAGCATGCCTGTGGATGCTTGCGGCTCTTCTCCCGCATCTCGAAAAACAATATCGCAGCTACTTTTCCACTAGAAACGATATCCAGCTTGACTCAGTTCCAGTGCCGGACCCTGTCCCCAATGCTTTACAACGAAAAAAAATAGTTTGTATTTGAACTCTGCTTGCGCTCCTGAAAGAGTGATTGTGTTTGTGCTGTGTTTGCTTTTGTATTGAAATTTGTTACCGCTCTTCGGCAGTGCTTGTGAAATGTAATAGGGACACAATTATTTTGCAGAAGAGCATGTCGTTAGCGCGGTTTGACAGAAATTCTTCTCATATCGCTTTAGATAAATGGCATTATATGATGTTATGAAAAGTAGAACTTTTGAAATGCATTTCCACGAAGTTATTACAAGGAAAAATCAAACAGGATGATGAGGGAAGAGTCTTCTGACGCAGTTCTTCATGACTAAAATAAAAAATAAAATAAAGTTTTCTTTACAACATCTCAAAACCTCTAAAGTACATGCTGTTTGAGTTTGCAACAACCCGAAATAAGAATATAAGGGAGCAGAAGAATAAAGATTTTTGATCTATATTGACAAGTTATCAGTGATTTGATGCCATTGCGTAACCGCAGCATCCTGCTTAAAGGCAGTGTCCGGGCAAAAACTCTATTTTGAGATTTTGTGCTTATACGGGCCTATTCGCCATGCTGAATCCGAAAATCCACATTGGAAAGCGCGAAAACGGCGAAAAAGGGCTTTAATATAGGAGGGAAATCAGCAGGTGGGCGGGGCTTTCCCCAGTGCGATTTCACGCTCCCAACTCCCGGAGCGATTTTCTCGATTCCGCTAGCCGTTTTAACATCGCTACTGGCCAAGTGCGAATGATTGACTTGAAACCGGAAGCGAGAAGGTCGCTCCGGAAGCCGGGAACGTGAATTCGCAGTGGGGAGGAGCCCGCCCACCTGCTCATTTCTCTCCTGTGTTAGACCGTTTTTCGCCATTTTCGCGCTCTACAATGTGCATTTTCGGATTCAGCGTAGCGAATAGGCCCAAGTAAGCACAAAATCTCAAAATCGAGTTTTTGCCCGGACACTGCCTTTAACCGTTGCTTCAACTGGCTTGGCGGCTGGAAGGCGGGGATTTCTCTTAGGTTCTTTTCTCAAGCAAAAAAGATGTAGATGTTAAATAGGCCTAGAACATCCTGCAACCGCCTCATTTTTTCGTTCTTTCCTATGCTAGCTTTCTGTATGAATTTCTACCTATCTACTGTGCTTTTTTTTGATGACCTCCCATTGTGAAATGAATTCTGATCGTCTCCATTTGCGTGCCATGGAAGGTTTGTCTTCTCTCCCTCCCTCCCCCTTGCCCTCTTCCCACCCCCAAAAAAAAGTTTGCAGTCTAGAAAGAGTGTTACTGTGACTACAACATCAACTTGAGCAGCACATCGTTGGAGCAATCAGCCACATGACTTGCATCCAAAAAGCGAAGACTGTGTAATTCTCACTGATCTGTAACCAGGGCTCAGCCCGAGCTGGCACCAGGAAAATTCTAAAACGAAGTCCCCTTTGATCTTAAAAGTTTCCTACGAAGTCCCCTTCGACGTGTTTTGCCTTTGCTTAGGGCGTACTTTGTGATTGGAGCAGATTTTTCGACTGCGGAGCAGACCGAGCAGATGGTTATGAAACGCCGAAAAGAAAACATTATGAAATTGTTTTTGCTCTGTATGTAAACTTTTGCAGTGCAGATACAATTCATGTAAAAAAGTATGAAAACTTATGTGAGCAAAGGGTCGGTGCCAGCTCAGCTGGCACCCAGCTGGCACGGTGTCAGCTAATTCAGAAAAAAGTTCAGCAGAGCTTTCAACATAAGTTTTCATAGATTTTTGAGCCATAATTCGAGTCCCCCAACGCGCATGCACACACCAAATTTGGTGTCATATGATTGCGCTTTGACTGTAAAAAAGGCTTTTGTTTGTCCCAAGGGCACGCTGCTGGCGACTTGCCGGCGGCGTGCCCCTGGCATTCTAGCAAACAGCGGCATCTAACCCGCAAAAACGATATCCCCTTTGCTTTCCACCCCAAAAACGATATCCAGCTTGGCCCGGTGCCAGCTGTGCCGAGCCCTGTCTGTAACTCTCAAAGTTATGAAATGTTGATGAATCCCATGCAGTTTTTGTCACAGCAGTGAGTTATGAAATGCACTATTTTCCTAGACTAAAAGTTTTTGATGTAGGTTCTGCGGCACAGGTGCTAGATCCAATAATTCGTCCACAATAATTACCAGTGATGTATTTTATCATTATTATATTATTTCGCGCTAACTACTGGCTCATCTATTTGGTGAATGGCTTACGACCATTAAAAGTCTTTTGGATTTCGTTCAGACATAAATAAAAATGAGTAGGAATATGTGCCTTCTAGAAAGTATAGACTTTGTAATCAGCGTCGCATCATCTCTGCAAATTATACAGAATTTAGTTGCTTGCAAATTTCCATCTATGCATGATTTTTGCAAAATTCAACGTTCCATCACATTTTTCGTCAGACTTTACCGTTTCAATTCTGTTTTGGCAAACATTCACATAGTGAAGCAACGGTTAGTCACAGTGATGCTAACGCCAAAAACCTTTCTTTGTTAAGTTGAATTTTACAATTTTTTGGAAACTATTTCAATTAGTCACCAGTATAAACAAGTTACTTGCACATTTTTTCACCCCGCTGGTCAGCGCGTAGGCTGCGACGATTGCAAGGCTTTCAAAAGAGCAACTGCTGAAAATGAACTAGATGGAAAAAAATGCTCGTTATTCGGTAAAATCCCGTATAAATTTTGAATCATTCAATGTGTGTATATCTGTTGCAACTCGTCCACTTTTCCAGCGGCGCCGATGCAAGTTTTGGTAGCGCCTAAACCCCGCAGTCATCAATAAGCATCATTGCCTTTGGAGAAAAAAATAGCTGGTAGCCAGTGCCGACCGCGAAACGCCTCCCCCCCCCCCCACCCCACCCCATTTCCCTTAACTTCGCCAATGGAGCAATATTTTTGAACGTTACCTACGGGAGTTTAAAAATTGCCTTTTAAGGACTTCTGTTTCCTGGAATGATTTTCAAAAATTGTCGAAGGTTCAAGTCAGCTTTCAAAGAAGTCTTTTCTTGCGGCTGATTACGCCCCTTTCCCTAAATCTCTTGGAACACTGGTCAGACAGTCAGCTTTTTGTCCAGCATGCTGCAAGATTTGCACTATTTTCCGGGCATGTAGACGTTGCTAAATTAGGAAAACAGTTTTGAAGAGTCACCTCAAAAAAATAGTCATTTATTTTGCGTCGATCTAATGATGGGGCTTTATTTTCCTCGTAACATTACGGTCGAATACTTCCGCGCTTACTCTATAAAGGATCAAAGACAAATTTCCTTAGATCAACTCTACGTCATTCGAAATTTTGAACTCCGTTCATCATAAATCATTTTCGTGTTTTATCGAATGATGTATTAGGCTAAATACCAGAGCGTTTCTTTCTTGAGATCGTTGCAACAGGTCATTTGAAATGTAATACAATGGGGTTGGTTGTTACCATAATTTCTCAAGCACAGCGTGATTTGGTAGGCCAAATTCTGCACTTCGATTCATTTCGTAAGCCTCAACTATCTTCAATTCTGCTTCGCCTTTTTGAACCCAAATTATCTGTGAAATGTACACCGTGAGATGATGGCCCGTAGCTGATTAGATCTCTCTGCAAACTGTTTTAGTCAACGTAAAAACAGCAACTCTACTGATTTATCTCACACATCAGCATCACATATTTTGGTGCACGAACCTTTCAAACAACATCTGCATCAGATATCTTTTTTGGCGTTGAAACAGCTGTCCCTAGCTATCAATCATTATTCATCCCAATTGATCGTGTGCTAATTACAGCAACGTCATGATCACCAACACTTGCTTCGGACATGGACCACGAACGACCATTGGTCAGCTCCAGTACTTCACGAGGTAGTTGGCATCGATAGATCTAAAAGACTGGAGATAATCTGTCACAAATTATCGCATAGGCACAGGAACACAGAAAGCTAGATGATGTATAATTTCTTCTGCGCCAGTTTGAAGCCGGCACAGGAGAGCGTGCGGGACTGGGACAAAGCGATGGAGCCGCGCGCGACGCGTCCTGTGCCGGTTTCGTGCCAAAGGCGGACTATAGACACAGCCTGAGATCAAAAATAGAGATACACGATTTCATGCATTAGCATTTCATCCTTTACAAAATGCTTTTATAAATGTGTATGCAGGGTTCGCTGGTTTCGCATTGTTGTCTACCTTTTGCAGAATATTTTACTAGGCTCGCTCTCAGGCTTTCGCTTTTTTCTCTAGATTCCTGCTATGAAATTTGTTTAACTTACCAAATATGTGATAAGAGTGATAACAATAAGTCCTGCCAAGCAGCTCCCAACTATTACTGGCACTATATCTGTGGCATGTTGATCACGGGGACATGTTTCGTCTGGAAATTACAAAATAACTTATTCTATAAATAATATAAATAAATTTGAAGCCGACTTGGATCAAATTTGCCATTTGCTTGTGACGTAACTTTGTATGCTTCCACTTGCAGATACGAAAGTTTGAATCTGTAAGTCATTACGATATGAGATAGCACAGAAACTGGACAAGGAAAGAGTGAAAGGATGGAAGGAGGGAGGATCAAGCGCAAGTAGTGTAATTCTTTGTTTTTTTCCGTAAGTGGGTAATTTATTTTAAGAAGCTCCAAGTCTCACCCTCATATAAACTTCCCAATAAGTTCAATGTGCAGCAAAATTTTTCGAATCATTTATAGTTGCACATTTTTCGGCAGAGGCAAAATTGCTTAGTTCTCGGCTCAACTCACGATGCCAAAGGACCCTGCTTTGGATCTTTGTTGATCCAAAATTTCTGCTCCGAAGTGCAGCTGAGCGAATGACCCAAATGGGCAAAGACTGCATCCGCAACATCGGAAGGGTTCATCAGATCAACTTCTTGTACGTAATCGTAGACTGTATCTGCAATTAAAAGATTTTTGGGTTTTTACGAAATCTATCGATAGACGTCGCACCAGGAGCGTTCGTGAAAAGGGTATTGGTGGCAGGGTAATCAGCGGTAACGTTCACTTGATACAGTATAAACTGATCGACAGCTTTCAGACGTGCATCCTTGGAAAAGGCAAATCGAATATTCCATCCAGGATACTAAAACATAGTGTTCATATTGCAAATCCAACATAGCACAGATTTCAGTGTTTAATTTTGTTACTTCCTGATATCATATCAATCGTATCACTTCTATCCTATCACCGATTTTTTCTTCAAATTTTCAAAATTACAAGCTTCGCAGGAAGTTTGTTTAGCATCTGGATGATGGGAGGTTTCGGAAGGTGCAGCTGATACTATCACCGGTCGCTCCATGGGGAAAAGAACTCTATTGCTCCAGCCCTCCGCCTTTCTTTCCTCTTGGAAAATTTTTTGGAACAGCCTGATGTAGGGAAAGAGGAGAGGAAGCATCAACCGGTCGTGATGTGCGCAGGGAGTGCAGCAGTAAGTTGCTGAGAGTTTCACCTCAAACGCTTTTCCTAACTTGGAAATTTGAAGCAGATCATAGTCATCCGTATACTGTCAACTAATTCGCCTTACAAAGCTGAACCTAGGATGCATGTCATACTATAGGCACCGTCCACCCTAAGTTGTTGAACTTTTGGCATCTTATAACAGTATGGCCATCTATCAAGTCAATGCCCAAGTCGCGGCCCATAATGCCGCTTCGGAAGCGAGAAAATCGCTTCGGAATAGCGAAGATGCACGAGGACCCCCATCCATGCCCACCCCTCTGTAACCATGCCTGCCCATTTTTGCGCGCTCATCCAATCACCGTTTTGGAAAAGACGGCCTGCGGATTCTCCGGAATGAGGAATGTCGGGGTTTTCGCGGATTCCGACTTATGGAATCAGGGACATGAGAAGGCCCTGAAACGACAAAAAAACTGGAAGTCGATCTGGGTGGACGGTGCCTTTAACCACGCAGAAGTATTGCTTTGTATTGATTGAAAAAAGAGATAGCTGACTTATTTCCAAAACAAAGTAATTCTTTCCAAAAATAACCATTTCACTTAGGTGGAATCTGGAAACTTCAGAATTCGCTAAAATCTTGTCAACAAGGGTTATTTGCTGATAACAAACAGTACTCATCATGCTTGGAAGAATCTCCTTATCGGTTATGTTTCGGTAGTCATACGGTAACAGGTCATGTATTAGGTTGTCTCATATTTTCAATTCTGATTTTTTTTTCGCAATAAGGCACACACTTCTCAATTTTGACTAGAAAGCAGTGTACCGCTCAATAGAGCAAAGCATATAAGATTATGAGATAAGATATAAGATTATGTGCAAGTGCTTGCATCAGCTTCAGATTACGAAGCGTTCACGCGTTAGAAGCGAAATGTGAGAACTTTCGGATGCCCGAGGACTGAAAATATTTTATATCTTTCAAAGAAAGCTTACTAGATTTCAAACGCGCTCACACATAATACATTCATATATGCCGTTGCTGTGTTTGTTTCTGTGCTAGAAGGCGAGAAAATCAAGATTTTCAAGCTTTCAAAAAAGCGTTGCTGCGCTGTTCTCACGAGGAATGTACACTACAAGCTTTCAGAAATATATCGGTAAATTTCCAGCTTCATGGAGGAGCTGGTTCTTGAGAAACAGCAAATTTAGCTTTTTTCCTATGGTATTCTACGTTCAATATTTCTTGGAACTAAAGCTTATAGAAAGCTGGAAATCTAAGATTGTATTGCTAAGGGCTTGTGATGTACATTTTCATCTATGTGAGACCAGCGCAGCTACGCTTTTTGAAAACTTGAAAATTTTAGTTTTTTCCGGTTCCCAACACAGAAACAAACGCAGCAACAGCATATATGAACGTGTTATGTAGAATATATTAGGTTGATGCAAAAATAGTGGCCGTTTTGCGAATTCTCACTTTAACGTGCTATGAATTATAAGAAAATCCACATTTTTGAGTGCGGTAAAAACCGTATTCATTGGCAGCAAACCGTTTGTCATACAGCGCACATTTACTTGCACCAATAACATAAACGGACAGAAAAATATGGATTGTAAAACAAAAAAGGGTTTTTCTGAAACCTCATATTCGACGAATTATAACTTTCTTTAAAGTTTGTTGGTATGAATGATAAGTGAGCGATTTTGTTGCCTCAAGCCAATAGTACAAAGTACGATAAAAAGGTTTTAAAGAAAAAAGTCTGTGAAAAGGCAAGAAATCAAAATTTGAAATTGTTAGTTTTTTCCAGTATTTTTCAGCATACTTTAAAGTCCTATAGAACTTTTTAATTTTTTGTGTACTGAACTGTTCGATGTTTTTGCAAAAACTGCATAGGATGCTCTAGCATTACGCTTACAGAGTTGCGCAAAGCTTTGGTTATTGACCTTTATAAAAGAAATTTGTGGGTCATGTAATGACCGCAACGGCTACCCATGTTGAGGCGCCGCATATCTCAGACTGGATAACCTCAAAATATGCGGTGAAGTATGCATAATACATTTTCTGTCACATACAATAGCTAAGCGCCATTCATAAGCGCATGGATTCTGGCCAGAAAAGTGTATGCAGCAAATGAACCTCAGTAACTTCACAACAGGTAGGGCTACAAGCTCGCTTTAACCATCGTTAGATAGAGCATGAGCAGCTTTTCAAGAGCATGTTACATATAATTCGAAGAAAATATTTTGATGGAAAAAAGTTGCCTTGATGAAAGGTTTGAAGAATCGCCCATCATTTTTGCATCAAACTAATACATGCGTGAGCGAGTTTGGGATCTGGTAAATTTTCTTTGAACAAAATTATAGAAATTTTCAATTTTTGGGCATCCGAACCTGAGATTTCAGCTTCTAACTCGTGATGTTCTGAAGCTGATGCGCGAACATGCCATCTTATAGAGCTTGCTTCGCTCTATCGAACGGTACCCTGTATTCTAATCAAAATTGAGAAGTGGGTGAATTATTGCGGTAAAAAATCAAAATTGAAAAAATACGAGACAACCTGATAATTGCTTGTATCAGTTGGGAATGTGGTAATATTTAGTTTTAGCTATCTGTCGAAAAAACAACATTGCATCATTTTTTGAAGGTAGATTTTGAGTAAGAGATACCCACATGGTCAAGATTGATTTGGAGCACTTGACTTGGAATACTTTGATCTTGTACAGCTAATACGGTGGCACATGAGCTGTGTTCTCGATCTACTGTTGAGCTAGGCAGTACATGTACGACTGTGTCCACCTAAACAAAATCTGTGAAGGTAAGCTAATCGACAGTTGGCCTTTTCTTACCTCTTTCCCGGTGCTGTCGGTGTAAGTGAGGTAGAGGTCAATCTGTGCTGCCAGCACTATGCATGGATATTGAGGGGAGGAGTCGGAAAACTGTAGAACATATTATTTTGGAATCAAAAATACGAACTGATTTGAACCTCCCAGTAACCCTTATAACTCGTGCTGCCACCTCCTGCCAGAGCAGCTCCGAAGAAGCCTAAACTATTCAGATATGACTACTGACGATTTATGTAAAGCCGTATTCATCTTTTCCTAAAGAAAGACAAGTGTTAAGTTCCCCTTTTTTATAACCCAGTAGCTTTGGGATCGTTCTTGTCATTTGCGCTCCGGCATCTTTTATTACAAGTGCTAATCTCTTTCGAACGTCTTCATCTACAAGTGTTCAAGCTGCAGAAAATACTCGATTCCTTAACTTGCGGGTAAATGGTTTTTCCTATTGAGCACATGTGCTATGTTTGAGATTTGTTGAAGTAATGATCCATTATTTAGTGAACAGCTGAAACAATAGAAAAAATTTTATGAAATGCATACACTCTCACCAAGGAAATACGATATCAACATTCTGTCATCTACAGCATATCCAAATAGACCCTATAAGAACGATCTATTGGTATTTTTGGATCAGGACACCTTTTAGCGAAGGTATAGACGATTCTGGGTAAGACTGTAAAACGTCATTAATATCCCGTTTGAGGGGAGGAGGAGAAGGAAGGTAAGAGATCTTTATTCTTTATTCTAGAACAATCGTACGCTTTGCACACATTTTCTAAAAACACTTCATCTTGTTCTTTCCTGATTCCTAGTAGTTAATAATAATAGATGATGGCAGAAGAAACTTGTTAACCACATGGTGAAACTATTTCAGACTATGTGTATGCAAAGCGTACTCGAGCATCCTAGCCTCAGAATTCATGATACATACCAGCAGGTCTTTGCTTTCCAGGAAACAAAGAAAAGGTTTTTCTTGAAGTAAAAAAGATTTTTATTTGAAAAAAGGGTAAAAATATTACACTTGTTAAACTTGGGTCAGAAAAGAACTGGCTGCAAGAGGCTCGTTGCATAAACTAAATTGTATTCATAGAGTTGTCAATAAAACAGCGAGGAGTCTAAACAGCGGTAAATTGTAAGAATCTAGGAGAATTTAGTAGCGCCTTGAGCAGCCTTATCGGAGTTATTACGATCGATTTGCATTCCTATCACCAAGAACAACTTAACGAGCATGAGCTCATAATGGATTGCTGATAACTCGGTATTCAGTCATCTACTGCCAATTGTGTTCGCCCGAAGCAGGGGTAAGAATTTACTCTTCCTGTGCCAGTGCCAGTTCCTTCAAAACTCTTCGCCTGAACCTCTGATCGCTGTAAGTATTACTCATCTAACAGGTGAGAATTTTAATAGGCGAGTGGAGTAGCGATTGAAAATCACGTCTATGGCAATTTGAATTGAGATCACCCCTCCCCCCCTAACCAGTCAAACAATGCCCTGTAATGAGAATGAGTTAGTACTACCGCATTCTCGTAGGAAAAGCACAAGCTCTGATTAAAGCATTGACTTCGTAATAAATCCCATTTCTGAGACGAAATTTCACCAAAAAAACCATCTAGGGAAACTTGTGAAGTGACTCAAGCGTTCTGATTTTGTAACTTGGTTCATAATCGTCATGTTCACTACTTCCGCCTCCATATGCCCACACTCGTAAAATGGAACATTCTTTCGTATATACGGTGTTTTTAACCATCGTGACCGTCCTTTACTCAGACAATTATTACGGGCATCCGCGGCCCTTAATAGTGCCTTTTGGTGGCGCGCGGGCGTTAAATTTTAATACCCACCATCCGCGGCCCTTAATTCACTTGCTTGGCGACCCGCGGCTCAATGTTTTCGCTAGTTAAAGGCCGCGGGTTTTACTTCTTCTACCGGGACACCCGCGGCCCGGGAAAAAAACAGTCGGGCGGGCCACGGACCTTATTGAAAGCAGCCGCGGGCCTTAATGGGCGCCGTGCTCATCATTTTCGGGCAGGCCCCGGCCCTTCCAGGCAACGGCTTAACAGAATCAGTCTGACCAGCCGCGGGCCTTGCCGGACGCCGCAATTCTTACATGCTGTAAGCAAAGACGTTACTCGCGTGAGATACGCCGCGCTGATAGAGGTACCCTCAACGTTTACGCCGTTGCTTATCGTTCGTCGGTATGTGGCTAGTAGCAAAGACGGTCTGGAGGTATCCTCCTCCAGGGTCACCTGAAGTTGGAACCGGGGCCCTACGAGGGAAGGCAAATTTTGACGCATACCCTGACCCTTGTGCGAGGGCGAGGAAAATGGAAACAGATGTTCCAAAAATGGAATAAATGTATATTGTACTGCATTTAGCAACTGCGTATCGGGCCACGCGCGGATGCATATCGCGCATCAGTCGGGTCCTTGTCTGGACATCCGCGGGCGTCTTTCGAGCGCTTACCGGCGCATCCGCGGGTAACTCTCGGCTGCTTAGCGTGCGTTTACTCTACCACCCGCGGCATGGATGAAACGTCGGCGCGGGCCCTTCCGCGGGTGGTCGCAATAATTGTCTAAGTATATGAAAAACTGAGCTCAGAATGTCCAAACTGTCACCAGAGATGATAAATTGTATGTGGTAAGTCGTTCAAATCATGGAAAGCAAATACTGCTAAGGTGCAGACCGCTGACCTTCATCAAAAGGTTAATCAATTTACACTCAATCCGAACCTCTTTCCGCTTTGGTAATCTCCCTCATGGGTCATCTTAAAAACAGACAGTGTCCGAGCAAAAAGTCGATTTTGAGATTTTGTGCTTATCCGGGTCTGTTCCCTACACTATCCGAAAATCTACACCGGAGAGCGCAAGAACGACGAAAAAGGGCTCTAACGCAAGAAGAAAATCAGAAGTGGGCAGGGTCTCCCCCACTGTAAATTCACGGTCCTGGCTTCTGGAGCGATCTTCTCAATTCCGCTAGCCGTCCTGACATCGCCGCCTTCCAAGCACGGACGCGTGACTTAAAATCGGAACCGATAAATCGCTCCGGAAGCTGGGAGCAGTAATTCACAGTGGGGAAGACCCCGCCCACTTGCTGATTTCCCTCGATTAACCTTTCTCGCTGTATTCGGACTCTCCAGTGTGGATTGTCGAATTCAGCATAGCGATGGGTAAGCACAAAATCTCAAGATCGACTTGTTGCCCGGACACTACCTTTAACCTGACTGGGTGGGCGAAAATATGTCTCAAACTACTCTGTGCCTTCTCTTCACTCCTGAAATTATATTTATTTGATTGAGAAGGCGATTGATAAGTGACAGTTACGAATGTCAAGTCAAATATAAATACATCGTACAAGCAGATGAAATTTACAGCAATGAAGATGATCCTAGTGAGGCATGGCTTCGCCAAATTTGCTCATATGAGCAGAGGATTTGGCTGGAATGAGTCTCTCATTATGCACATAGGCTTCACAAGGGTAGCACCAAACGGTGAGGTCGCTAAGCGAAAGGGCCATGGCATGTGACTGTTCAGCAAGATGGTGTATGAGTGCATGTCCGTGCACATATCGTCCACAATGTGCCTAGAATGACGACTTTTGGTTATGTTCAACGCAGGAAGTGAACTGGACCAACCTTGTAGCATGTCAGACATACCCAGACCTCGGATGGGCTTTGACATGTTTCACAGACTGAGTTCGCATCAATTCCAGATTCAGGCAAGTCGTTAGTCTAAACCGGTGTGGTTGCAAGGATGATTCACTCACGCTATTTTTATAGGTTGGCCATGATTCTCGTCTTTATCTGTGCTACCTTGTTACCACTACTAGTGCTGTAACCCAGAACAACGGTTAATCACTACGTAATATATAACGAATTCGTTGATTACGCAATAGTCCTCTGATAGTTGGATTATGGCAAACGAGGAGGCCGCAGACGTAAAAATTATGATGAAATACACTGATCTTTGGAATTGGATTGCTGCCATTAGCGGTGAGTAAGTCAGTTGGCACGATGCCAGATTTTCGTAAGCCTTTGGAACGGTGCCAAATTTCGTAAGTATGGGCAAATGAAACAACATACATGCATAACGGCATGTTTCGGGCGTGTTTTCGATCGATATCATCATTATTTTTCACGTCTGCAGGTTTGACCATCCTAGGAACTGTTCTAATTTCCACGTTCATTCTAGAATTTCTTCCAGTAACTGTTGTTCTGGATTCTTCTCATTCGAGAATATCTTAATAAGAGATTGTCATCGCCGATGATTTGGTTTCTAAGGAGAGGGGAATCTAATCTGACCGGATCTTTGATATTTGCTTCTAATAAGATTGTTATCGCCGAAAATTTATTTTCCATAGAGGGGAATTTTGAGGTAGAAATTTGCCAAGCGTACTCCCGGTAACATCGGAGCTAAAACTGATCGTGAGTTCATTACAGATCCGACTCTTCTGTGTGAGGTGTTTAGTATCTTGAAAACACTCAGTGAGAGAGATTTTACTCCAAATATGACATCCGCATGTAGGTACAAATAGCAGATACAAATGAACAGATGTAACGGAACGTCTGAAAGAACTAACAAAACAAACGAAAGATGAGTGAGGAAATTTGTTTTTATTTTACTGAGATCTGAGATGAGTGATATTTAGGCCCTGTATTCTCTGCAAGTTTGCTGTGCAAGAGAGGAAAACTTGTCACCGTTTTGGTATATAAAAGTCTGTTGAAACCCGATCGAGCAGAGAAACAGATTTTTGCATGTTGGGGCTGTTCTTATTATTTTTAAACGGTCTTCAAGCGGCACGTAGGGCATGAACTGTCTTTTAGATAGATAATATTGGTTTGTAAGCGGCACGTAGGGCAACCCGATCGGGCAGGGAAACAGATTTTTTTAATGTTTGGGGCAGTTCTTGTAATTTTTGAACGGTTATCAAGCGGCACGTAGGGAATGAACTTTATTTTTAAATAGTTACTATCGGTCTGTAAGCGGCACGTAGGGCAACCCGATCGGACAGGGAAACAGATTTTTGTATGTTTGGGGCAGTTCTTTCAGTAATTTTTGAACGGTTATCAAGCGGCACGTAGGGAATAAACTTTATTTTTAAATAGTTACTATCGGTCTGTAAGCGGCACGTAAGGCAACCCGATCGGGCAGGGAAAGAGATTTTTTCGATGTTTGGGGCAGTTCTTGTAATTTTTTCGGTCTTCAAGCGGCACGTAGGGAATAAACTTTATTTTTGAATAGTTACTATCGGTCTGTAAGCGGCACGTAAGGCAACCCGATCGGGCAGGGAAAGAGATTTTTTCGATGTTTGGGGCAGTTCTTGTAATTTTTTCGGTCTTCAAGCGGCACGTAGGGAATAAACTTTATTTTTGAATAGTTACTATCGGTCTGTAAGCGGCACGTAGGGTAACCCGATCGGGCAGGGAAACAGATTTTTTTGATGTTTGGGGCAGTTCTTGTAATTTTTTCGGTCTTCAAGCGGCACGTAGGGAATAAACTTTATTTTTGAATAGTTACTATCGGTCTGTAAGCGGCACGTAGGGTAACCCGATCGGGCAGGGAAACAGATTTTTTTGATGTTTGGGGCAGTTCTTGTAATTTTTTCGGTCTTCAAGCGGCACGTAGGGAATAAACTTTATTTTTGAATAGTTACTATCGGTCTGTAAGCGGCACGTAGGGCAACCCGATCGGGCAGGGAAACAGATTTTTGTATGTTTGGGGCAGTTCTTATAATTTTTAAACGGTCTTCAAGCGGCACGTAGGGAATAAACTTCTTTTGAATAGTTACTATCGGTCTGTAAGCGGCACGTAGGGCAACCCGATCGGACAGGGAAACAGATTTTTTTGATGTTTGGGGCAGTTTGTAATTTTTTCGGTCTTCAAGCGGCACGTAGGGAATAAACTTTATTTTTGAATAGTTACTATCGGTCTGTAAGCGGCACGTAGGGCAACCCGATCGGACAGGGAAACAGATTTTTGTATGTTTGGGGCAGTTCTCGTAATTTTTAAACGGTCTTCAAGCGGCACGTAGGGAATAAAATTTCTTTTTGAATAGTTACTATCGGTCTGTAAGCGGCACGTAGGGCAACCCGATCGGGCAGGGAAACAGATTTTTGTATGTTTGGGGCAGTTCTTATAATTTTTAAACGGTCTTCAAGCGGCACGTAGGGAATAAACTTTCTTTTGAATAGTTACTATCGGTCTGTAAGCGGCACGTAGGGCAACCCGATCGGACAGGGAAACAGATTTTTTTGATGTTTGGAGCAGTTCTTGTAATTTTTTCGGTCTTCAAGCGGCACGTAGGGAATAAACTTTCTTTTTGAATAGTTAGTATCGGTCTGTAAGCGGCACGTAGGGCAATCCGATCGGGCAGGGAAACAGATTTTGGTATGTTTGGGGCAGTTCTTGTAATTTTTTCGGTCTCCAAGCGGCACGTAGGGAATAAACTTTCTTTTTGAATAGTTAGTATCGGTCTGTAAGCGGCACGTAGGGCAACCCGATCGGACAGGGAAACAGATTTTTGTATGTTTGGGGCAGTTCTCGTAATTTTTAAACGGTCTTCAAGCGGCACGTAGGGAATAAAATTCCTTTTTGAATAGTTACTATCGGTCTGTAAGCGGCACGTAGGGCAACCCGATCGGGCAGAGAAACAGATTTTTGTATATTTGGGGCAGTTCTCGTAATTTTTAAACGGTCTTCAAGCGGCACGTAGGGAATAAACTTTCTTTTTGAATAGTTACTATCGGTCTGTAAGCGGCTAGGGCAACACGATCGGGCAGGGAAACAGATTTTTTTGATGTTTGGAGCAGTTCTTGTAATTTTTTCGGTCTTCAAGCGGCACGTAGGGAATAAACTTTCTTTTTGAATAGTTAGTATCGGTCTGTAAGCGGCACGTAGGGCAATCCGATCGGGCAGGGAAACAGATTTTTTTGATGTTTGGAGCAGTTCTTGTAATTTTTTCGGTCTTCAAGCGGCACGTAGGGAATAAACTTTATTTTTGAATAGTTACTATCGGTCTGTAAGCGGCACGTAGGGCAACCCGATCGGACAGGGAAACAGATTTTTGTATGTTTGGGGCAGTTTTCGTAATTTTTAAACGGTCTTCAAGCGGCACGTAGGGAATAAAATTTCTTTTTGAATAGTTACTATCGGTCTGTAAGCGGCACGTAGGGCAACCCGATCGGGCAGGGAAACAGATTTTTGTATATTTGGGGCAGTTCTCGTAATTTTTGAACGGTCTTCAAGCGGCACGTAGGGAATAAACTTTCTTTTTGAATAGTTAGTATCGGTCTGTAAGCGGCACGTAGGGCAATCCGATCGGGCAGGGAAACAGATTTTTGTATGTTTGGGGCAGTTCTCGTAATTTTTAAACGGTCTTCAAGCGGCACGTAGGGAATAAACTTTCTTTTTGAATATTTACTATCGGTCTGTAAGCGGCACGTAGGGCAACCCGATCGGGCAGGCAAACAGATTCTTGTATGTTTGGGGCAGTTCTTATAATTTTTAAACGGTCTTTAAGCGGCACGTAGGGAATAAACTTTATTTTTGAATAGTTACTATCGGTCTGTAAGCGGCACGTAGGGCAACCCGATCGGACAGGGAAACAGATTTTTGTATGTTTGGGGCAGTTCTTATAATTTTTAAACGGTGTTCAAGCGGCACGTAGGGAATAAACTTTCTTTTTGAATAGTTACTATCGGTCTGTAAGCGGCACGTAGGGCAACCCGATCGGGCAGGGAAACAGATTTTTGTATGTTTGGGGCAGTTCTTATAATTTTTAAACGGTCTTCAAGCGGCACGTAGGAAATAAACTTTCTTTTTGAATAGTTACTATCGGTCTGTAAGCGGCACGTAGGGCAACCCGATCGGGCAGGGAAACAGATTTTTGTATGTTTGGGGCAGTTCTTATAATTTTTAAACGGTCTTCAAGCGGCACGTAGGAAATAAACTTTCTTTTTGAATGGTTACTATCGGTCTGGAAGCGGCACGTAGGGCAACCCGATCGGGCAGGGAAACAGATTTTTGTATGTTTGGGGCAATTCTTATAATTTTCAAACGGTCTTTAAGCGGCACATAGGGAATAAATCTTCTTTTTTGAATAGTTACTATCGGTCTGTAAGCGGCACGTAGGGCAACCCGATCGGGCAGGGAAACAGATTTTTGAATGTTTGGGGCGGTCCTTATAATTTTTAAACGGTCTTCAAGCGGCACGTAGGGCAATTTGATCGGACAGGGAAAGAAATTTCATGTACGTTTGTGCAGTTCTTATGATTGACGGTCTTTAGGTGGCTCCCTTTTGTAGTAAAGCTTCATATTCCTTCAGCGAAAAAATAAGGATTTTTTAACAAAGTTCTTAGGCGATTGATTTCGTTGCTGTCGAAATTGATTCTGAGAGAAAAGTGTTTTTTGTAGTACACTAATTCTTATGGTGTATTTCTACTTCCAAAACGATAGATGTTCTGCTACTTAACGATCTTTTATGGAACTTGTTGAGAAGAACTGAAAGAGCAGATTCTCTTTGAGGGGGTAGAAAAATGGGGGGGGGGGGGGTATCTGAATGTCTTTGTGGGGAGGGGGTTTGCATAAAGAGCGTGTAAACTAGATAAGAATAATATCATGCATGGTTGTAGCAGGAATTTCGAGAAATGCTGAATGATTTGTGGAGATTATCGCTTCTTCGAGCAGTTATCCTTTCGTGGAATCCTTTTCGCAAAAATGTTCTCAGGAAAAGAACAGAAAACTTATTCAGAAATATTTTTAGTCACAACTAAGCCCTTATATTGTATCTGCCCTGACCCACTTGCTAGCGACCCGTAGGGTCGCTAGTCTTATATATAAAGCTGAATGTCTGTTTGTCTGTCTGTCTGTCTGTATGTCTGTCTGTCTGTCTGTCTATACGTATGTTCCGAATAGAAAATTCCATTTATGAACCGATCCGGACCAAACTTGGCACACATACACATCGGGCCCCGGCGGGTGTCATAGGCCACTTTTCGTCATCGATCGATATCGATTTTTTGCAAAATTTGAGCTACGGGGCTGGGAGTTGGCACAGGGGGGTAATCGAGCATGCTGATTACGAATATAATAATGACAGGGCCGGGCGGAGCCGGGTAAGCCAACTAGTGTTAAAATAAAGTAAAAATGCGAATTTACGTCCAACATTCGGCACCCTTACAGGGTAGCATCGGTAACATTGGTGACAGGGACAAATCATGGCTAATCCAAGTAAAACAAATTAAAAATGATCAGATGATTTTTAGCCTAGAATGACTGACTCCTACATGAGAACCTCATTGTCGTACATTTTTGAGTGCTCTCGGTTTTTAATCAGAATCGTCAAATTTAGCGCTTCAAAAAGCATTTGAAAGGGGCCTACTGCCAACTTCGTGGTGGATCGTCATGGCGCGCAATCTCATGCAAAGATCTATAGATTCGAAGAGCATGAAAGAGTAAATTAGTAACTTCAGCTATCTCAAATTCTAAACCATTGATCAGGGAAATGCAAATTTTTTGGATAAACAAGAAAACGCATTGTACATTAGGTTGGGAAAAACGTCGCTTGTATTGTTTTTGGCTATATTTTTCGGAAATTAAAGCATGTACAAGGCTGAAATTTCAAGGTTGAAGTTTCGAAGAAATGTAGCACACAACTGCGCATATGAGATTAACATGGGACTGCTAGGGCCGGTTTCCGTTTTTCATTTTTTTCTTGGTTTCTAACCATAAAAAAATATAGCAATTGTTTGCATGGAAGGAAGCATGTGTCCCCTATGTACATGCAAGAGCAAGTAAGAAATACGGCGATCAAAGTTAGCTCATGAAATTTTCACAGATTGTAGCTTCAAACCTTATGTAAATTACGAGTTATACTAATGTGCGAAATTTTCTTGTATAACTTGCTTGGTTTTCGAACGGTATTCCTCATATATATTTTCATGTCAATCTTGTCGCTCTGCCATGAAAAACGATAATTTTTTCATTCCTAACTAATATGACCTAATTTGCCTATAAAGTACTACGATTTTCAACACTTCCAATTTTATGCTACTTAACAATATCACATTAAAGGCGTCTCATTTCCAAAACTATGAATCGCTTCCACCAACTAAAAGTGATGGAATTTATTTGAAATTGACAGGTAGCAAAGTAGGACTCTCTGCATTACGCGGAGAATTGCATGTGAAAAGTTTCAAACGCCGAAAATTCTGTAAAGTTGGTCCCTTGATTATTTCGAAGAGTCGAGTCCAGCAAACTCTTGCCAACCAAGGCAGACCTGGTTACAAAACAAATTGAAGAGCTGGTAGGAGCAAAATTCACTTAAAACTTTTCCTTCCGTCGCCTACACTGGCGAAATAAAGCTGCATTTGTTTGACGCAGAAATATGGGGTACGGACATCATGCAGCTAAAACCCAACACTCTGTATCGATGTGAGCTTCTTTCCTTTCACACGAAATGTGAATTAGCTGCCTGTTTTCAAAAGCTTGATGTAAACACCTTCACATTTTTGCTATTTGACAATTTCTTTTTTCAAGCTTAAAACTGCTGTGGTGATTGGAGAGTATCAGTCTACATCAGGTAAGGAATGCTGTAAACTCCAGTACGTGTACATATGGTTTGCTCCAACACGTGCGCATTTGGACACCACTGTGGTGAAGATGAGTCGAGAAAAAGCGCGGAACCTTTGCAACTCAATAACAATGTTTGTGCAGGATATTAGAAAGTAAGGCCTATTACATTTATCAAGTTTTCTTTTTACAAAAACTATGAGCGGTACGCAGCAAAGAAAACGTAAAAGGTCTTATATGGATAGGACTTATTCTGCACTGAGAGATTTCTTTCAAACATTCTCAAATAAGTGATGAACTCAAAATTAGTAACCTGTGTAAGATGAGGACAAGTTGGGAGTGGAACAACTGCATGAAGACCAAGACTATCGGGCTCTTCAACCGAACTGCTACCTTGCGCCATTATTTTCGTGTGCTGACAGTTCCTTCGACTGCGATAAAAAGATAGTCACTTGTTTGGTACAGCTGTAAACCTGGTTTTGGTGGATTGACTCCCAAAACGGTAAGAAATGAAACGTACATGGAGACAAGACAGCAATGCTCTACAAAGTATTTATGAAGCATTCAAAGATATATGTACAAAATGCAGTAAATGTATACATATCACAAACTCATGACAAGCAGAGACTCAGATGTAGGTAGCTTTGATAAAACTGCACAAACTATTCTGAAAGGTAGCGAATCAATGGATCATGAGAGTTTGAGATTTTCCAATTGTTTTTCGATTGCGGCCATAGCTGCAAGTCGTGGAGATCTTCGCGGGGAAGTCGACGTTGGAGCCTCGAGCATCTGATCGGATCGTCGATCATGCTTCAGCTTCTGACTTCTGAGCATCTTTTGAGGGAAGCACTTCTGATACAATAGGACGTTGGTAAGTTGCGTCGTTGTTGAAGATCAAAGCACATGCCGAAAACGGTGCGAATTCGATTTTGCACAAATCGTTCAAAACAAACACGACACATACCTAACTAGTCACACTATGCACCTATCTACTTTTATCCTCTGGAGCTCTCACTATGGGTTCGATTCGATCAGCGGAGCATTTGGAGATTCAAAGTAACAGTGCTAATGCAACTGCTCATTTTACAAAGCTCGCACACGAAAAGCAAAATTTGGGCACTTTGGAGAAGGAAGCGATTATGGTCTCACTATCGCCAAAGCAATTCTTGGGAACGCAGTATTCAGGCGAGTTGGGTACTACGCTTTTTGTGAGGGGAGGTATAGAGCAAAATACTGAGCCCATATAGTCTATCCGCGGGTAAAAAAAAATCAACTTCAGAATCTCGACAACGTACGCGAGGACAGATCGGAAACAGTACGGTAATGGAAGAGTGAGAATTGTCTCGAACACAAGTGAGTGGCCAAGGTATAAACCTGCCCCTGCAAATCTCGTGAGCCGGTTTATCTTATTTTTTTGTTTTGTTCCTTTATGCTCACGAAATCTCCAAAAACGATCTATTAGGTTGTACCGAAAGTTCGTTCGCACCATCTTCAAAAATTCATAACTTCTGCTTTTTTTCAGCCGATTTGCGTGTTTTCATTTTTATCTCAAAGAGCAAGTTAATCTCTTCATGGCGGTTTCTAGTGGCATTCTATTGAGCATATACTGCTTAGATATAAGCGGTAGAAGAGTATTACTCAAATTTTGGATTTTCTGTGTAGGGTCATAAAAAATGAAACCTGCAAAAAAAATCGAAGCAGTCGGTATTATAGGTTCTTTCACCAGCTCTTTTTGACTATGCAAAGTTTGTGCTGATTAAGCGTCTCTATAAAAAGTTATGACCTTCATGCAAGCAACACAAAAGGGCATTATTATTTGATTCATTTTGGCATTTTCCAGGAAAATCATAACTTTTCATAGAAACGCTCAATCAGCACAAACTTTGCACAGTTAGAAAGAGCAGGTAATAGAACTTTTAATACTGACTGCTCCGATTTCTACTGCAAGTTTCAGATTTTTTATGACCCTACACAGAAAATTCAAGATTTGAGTAATTTTCTTCTACCGCTTATATCTAAGCAGTGTATGCTCAATAGAATGCCATCAAGATACAGCGAAGATATTGACTTGCTCTTTCAGAAAAAAATGAAAACTCGCAAATCGACTGAAAAAAGCAGAAGTTATGAATTTTTGAAAATGGTGCGAATGAACCTTCACAACCTAATTGAATATGCGCATCCTACTTTTTGTGTACAATTTTGTGTATAAGTCCTGATAGCAATTATTTATACTCAGTCAAAAAGATTTCGTGAGTATCGCACAGGTCATCTAGATGATTTCTTCTCCCACATGTCATCCGACAAGTTTTTTTGCAAGAACTACTGACTCGAATCCTAAATAAGGGTACAACAAAGTATTACCTCACTCTCACTGCCTAAACTCAACAAGATTTACTACTTTCGGTAAACTAAAAATATTGGATCCAGTTTGACAACCACATGCTCTTTTGAAGCAAGGACTCAGTGAGCGCGAAGTTAAAAAATCTTTTTACCTACCGAGCCTCGCTCAAGCGAACAAACTCTAACAAAAGCATGGCGCAAACTGTGATCAAGGAAGGAGCTTACTTGAAAACCTCTCAGGCAGGTCCAATAGTGATCCTGAACAGCGGCAACGCCTCGTATACTCTCCCAGACTTTACATTGGAGTCTCTTTCTGCAAAAAAAAATGTTTTAAAAAAAAACGGCAATGCAAAAGATGGCCTTGCACACTTTTGAGGGGTTCCTTCCGATTTCGCTGTGTATGAGTGCCTCAGAGAGCCTTCAATCATTGTCTGACAAACTGCAGCGGCACAATCAGAAATTGAGTCCAGGTTATAGCCTGTAATGTAAGGAATAAGGATGAATAGATACTGCTCTCAAGCTTTGATGACTATTACAATAGCAAAGTGAATAAAGTTATGATAATTTTGAAAATTTGCGAAAAACTTTGTTTATCCATGACAAGAAAACACATGGTGTACTCAGATATATATTCAAAACTTTCCGCACCCCCTTCCAGGACCGTGATGAGTCGACCGCCAGCCAGTCCCATAAGATGATAGGTCATTAAAGCGTATGTATCGGGATTGACCTAGAGGTAAGCAAAACTTTTGAAAAGAAAACAAATCTTTGATCGCATGCGGTATAGAAACCAATTCAGAAATAGGCAACTTGAATCAACCGAAACCTACAAAGCATTCGCCAAGCGGATCACCAGTAGCGGCGTCAAATCCAGAAGAGACGAAGACTAACTCTGGCCGAAACTCATAAGCGATAGGCATTATGATCTAAATTCTAGCTATATAGGAAAAGAGCCACAAAGCATCTAATCGGATCTGACCTTGGTGAACGCGGCACGGTACGCATCATCACCAATCTTACATGAGTTCCATGGTATATTGACCGAGAAACCCTTGCCTTTGCCCTCTCCGGCGTCCAGAAAATTTTTGGGTTCACCCATCGGGTAGAATGTTCCATCATCGTGTCGATGGAAGGACATGTATAAAACTCTGTTGTCCTACAAAGGGACAATAAACAAATAATAAATCACACCCTCTCCAATTCGTAAATCAAGACGAAATAACAACAGAAAGCTAGAATGCGTAAAACCTAAGAAATTAAGTGAGAAATTAAATAAATGCACATTCGCGGTTAAACTGTGTACAATCAAGGCATACTCGAAAATGGAAAGATTCTTTACCTCCCAAAAAATTTCTTGAGTACCATTTCCATGATGTACGTCCCAGTCCAAGATGAGCACTCGTTGCAGATCGTATTTATCGAGAGCATACTGCAAGCTTATGAAAGAGAAATGCGTAAAAGCAGCAGATTTTATTTCCCCACTAAGAGCAATAGATGCAGAAGAATCTTCCAAGATCTGATCAAAAATCTAGTTCTAATGGGGTGCCGGTTAAATAAAATAGCCGCTTATGAATCACGTAAGAGATTATCTTTTCAGCCTCAAGTAGAGAACGTCAGAAGTGCAAAAAATATAATAACAAGGATATCGATAGAAGGAAAATTTTTCTGTTCAAAACCGAGTTTTACCTGAGCTGCCACAGCGACATTGTTGAAGATACAAAAGCCGCTAGGCTCCGAAATTCCCGCATGATGTCCTGAAAGATTTGCAATATAAGCCCTCACCGCATTTGAAACAGTACAAACACAATGGATTTTACCTGGTGGTCGGACTAGGGCGAACGCGTTCCATTCTCCAATCCAAGAAGTCAAAACTCGATCTACACACTGAAAGAGCAACGTATGATGATCCATCACAACAAGAATGCATGCATTTTACCAAGACATGATGATAGAGATGATTATTCCATTTGCAAAAAGCATTGAAAAACAGAGCTAAGAGTTAGTTTGTCGTAACGATATGTGTAAACATCATTCCATGAATTTATATAAAACGATAAAACTTGCAAGATCCTAGAGTTCTAAGCATTTCAGAGATTCATAACAGATAGGTGCAAGCTTACCCCTGACTGTAAGTCAGTACCACAGCTTTTCTCCTTCTGATTCAAAACTAGCACCTACGCACGAAATTACTATACTTTTACAAGGGTGAGTCTAAAATAATGAGAACATCACTTTTCTCCTAGGCACATGGTTTTATAAAGATGAAAATTGGTGAGCGTAGCCCGCTATGCTTTCGAACTGTTTGATAAAAAGGAGTCTTGTAATAAGCAAGTTGTACAAACCCCCTAAAACCCAGCAACTAGAGATTTGATGCCGTTCATGGCTTGATCTCCTGAATCCATTCTGAGTTGTCTGCAGATAAAGATAGATTGAACTATGATAAAAGATAAGAGATATGCCCCACACCAAAAGCAACGGACTGTATTTTTCTTACAAAAAAGATAAGAAGGTTATTCAGAGCCTACGAAAAACAGCTTGCTCAGTTAGACATGTGAAATTCCACTATACACTTGGCGAAGAAAAAAATCGAAAACCTTGCAGTGTACTTAGGATACACAAGGGAAAGATTGTAGCAACATGGGCAGTAAGAAAGAATTATCAAGAAATAACAAAGAACGCCAAAAGAATGCAATGATTCTCAATCCAAGAATTTCAATGTAAAATGCCAAGAAAATACAATTAGAGTTTTCAACATTGATTTGCCTGCGCACAAAACTAACTCTCGTTTGGTCGTAACTGTCGCGCAAATGGGAAGAAAATCTGGTGCTGGACAAATAGTTAGGCATGGTCTATGCCACGTACGTACTGCGGCCATTCTAAGGTCTGCGTAAAAGAAGGGAAAAAATCACTTCAAAGAAATACTGGAACGAAGAATGGCGTGCTCTATGATCTGCTCTCAGACTGAAAGACAAAAAATGCTGCGCAAATGTTGTTTCACATTCGAACATGTTTTTCCCATAATTCAAAATGGCGGAACATCTACACTGTTTGCGTACGAACAAATTTTGACTTTTGCGCATACTGTTAGCCACGAGTACCCCAGACTCATGATAAAATTCTTGAATATTCTCGCGGCGGAGGTCTTGGAGAAAGGCATAGTTTGAGGGACGTGAATAAATACGAAGCAATTATACTGTACTATGCAGAAATGCAATTTCTACTACGCAATTATCTAAATCTATTCTACTCTGTATAGATTTAGATAATGCATTCTGCATTGGGTATTTCGGATCCTGAGCAATGCAAAAGGCCCTGAATTGCCTCGCTTTGGTAAGGAACCAGATAAGCTACCCAAACTGGGGGTGTCCAACAACAACAAAAGTGTAGATAAACAACCGAAGTTAGAGCCCAAGACTGATGTTCAGGTGTGTTTTCGTGATGCAAAACTGCAAGAACACTCACGATTCAGATGGCAAAAATAAACTTCCAGCAGAAGGAGATAATGCTTTCGCTTTTAGAGTTGACCAAAATTTCTCATGAATTTGAAAGAGAGGAATAAACTTGATGTGTTCTGTTTGAAAAGGGTCCATCCCAAGAAAAATCCGGAGTGAGGGGCTAACGTCACGCACATTCTTCAAAAAAATTTGCTCCTCCCCATTCCCGGACGGAAACCTTGGGTATGCCACTGGTATAGTGGGATGAAATCAAAATGAACTATTCTGATACGAGAAAAAAAAAGTACCCGCGTAGCATTGTTGCTAAAATTACGTACATTAAATCTCGAACGCATTCTCTGAGAGTGTTCGCACAATGGCATCTTCAAAAAGCTACATTTACGTCCACAGACGAAGCGCATTACGCTTTGGACTTTGCCGTGAGTGCAGTAGGTAGGTACAAGTAAACATTCACGAATGCCGAGCACAAGCATAATCCTAGGGCAGCGCGTGTTTGTATAGAATAACGCGCAGACGCACCTCTCCATCCGCTCATTTGACGGCTTCCTCATTTCTGGCGCGCGAGTTCGCACTTGCACGCACATGTCCGCAATTTCAGAGATCCACGACGTGGACTTGCGCGTCGGCGGAGGAAGTGCGTCTGATAAGCCGCATTCGACGAAGCACAACGTGGCAGCGACGACGTGATTCATGCGTACGGTCGAGTCACTCGCGGCTGGCCACGTTCTGCTCTTCGAATCGCTAGCCCCCCCCCCCTTCCCAACAAGGGGCGTGGTGTCGTTGTCGTCGCAACAAATCCACGTCTATTTGACTTTTCCTGCACTCACTCCATACTTCAGCTCTTTCATAAACTTTCATAACTTCCCTGTTTTCAAGTATTCGATTTCATCATCAAAAAATGCTGTTTCAGAAAGCAAAGATGGTTGCCTATAACCCACATTACGACCGCGTTCTCTACGAGCTACCTCCATTTGAGAAAGTTCTCCATTCATCATTTCTAGCCCCATTTCTGACCTATTTCGCATTCTTTCGTCTTGCCAGTTTATTTGTGAAGACGTTCATGTGGCAAAGCTACTCAGGCTTCAAGTAGGTTTATTAATTTTCACAACGTGCGGCGTATGCCTCATACCAGACCCCTGATTACATTCTATGACCCAATAATAAACCTGTACCTACTTTTTGGTCCTGACAACCCATTGTTCAAATATTCTCAATCTAACTAAGATCGCCGTCTCCCGACTACTAAATAGGCGGAGATCTGCCGTTAGTCCGCGGGCGCTTTTTACCGATGAGCAATTTAAAACTCTTTACGAAGCGTAGTAAATCATCTCTTTTTCAAATTGTACACGCGTGAATAGTCCACTGCTTTGCCTGTTCTATAGCTGGCAGCCAACAATGCATTTACTGAGCCACTTCGCAAATAGATGCTCAACAAAACCGTATATTGATCGAACGACATCAATTTTATTCTTGCAATAATGGCACTGTTAGAACCGACAGTCAGTCAACATCAGCGCACGATGTGTGGCCAACCAAAGTCGATCATGAAAATGGAGCTCGAGTTCTTTCAAAAGCAGGTGTACTTAATGTTACAAGGGTCAACATAACCTCATGCCATTTCTTACTCCAGCTTTTAAGCTACAGGGTATCTAATGTGAGGTACGCCTCAAATAACAAGGATCTACTTAGAATCAAAATCACTGCAAAATGTTATGAACAAAAGTTTCTTTACCTATCTATGTTTTAGTTTCCATGTTAACAAAGTTTCTCGTGAAGGTAATTCCTTGAACAGTGACTATTTGTACAAACAGACCAGCGCTCGATATGTTTGCTGCAAATGTTTTTGCGCCATCTTTATGACATTGCGGCGAATTCCTCTCTAGTGCACTCTGACAGCTTACTGACATTAGTTGTTACATATAAATTATGACCCATCTACACTCGCTGTGTCTAGGAGTCGAAAATCACTCCAGAAGGAAAGATTTGCTGATCCAATGAAATGAACAAACTTCTACCTTCGCAAATTCCGTTATTGAATTTGCAAGTAAATCGTTCAGATAACGAAAAATAAAAAAATTGAATATTTCTAGATCTCATGAAAAAAATAAAAGCTGAAAGCCAATTTTGGCATGCTGAGAGATGAATGATTTACTCGAACAAACAAAAGAAGAATTTGCGAAAAAGAGATGCAGATTGAAATTAAGGCGCTTTTTGTCAAAGTGATATTAATTACCGAATCGGGCAAGGGCGTATGTTGAAAAGCGCGATTTTTATTGCCAGTCGGACACCAGATAACATATAATTTTTGTTTTACAACGCTATGCATTCGAAAGTGATGAGAAGAAATAGTGGATAGTCGCATGGATTAGTCTTATTACCACAAAATAAATTCAAACATTAACGTCAAAGATCAAAACCCTTACTAATTTCAAATTCGTGAAGATTTCACTGTTTTTTGAATAAGGATGAGTAGACAGTAAGTCAGAAATTGCCTAACTGAAAACGAATAAAACAAAAAACTTTCTCGCTTTAACAGAGTACACAAAAACCTGGGATCCCTTTTTGCGGTAACTTTGAAAATAAATTAAAAATGCTTAATTCTGAATAGAGCGTATACGTCTTTTTTGTTGAAAAAAAAAACTCTAAATGCAGTTTTGGCAGTTTCCACTCACTCAGTCATATTTTCAGAAAATATCGCCTCCAAAATCTATCAATTTGCCTTCTACATTCCACCATTTCTGGATTATGGTCTACATTATTTTTCCTCACACATATTCACGACATGTTCGAAAACGTCACTTACTACTATGAAACATGGGCTGCACAGCTTCCAATCATCTCCGTGGGTGAGCAAGAATCGCTTTCCCTAATATGAAGTTCTAACTTTGTTTTAGCGTACTTCACACATGATGCGCTTGATATGCTGAATCACGAATGGTCGCGGTGGACACTCGAGTTGTTGCTACACCACATCGCAACTTGCCTCGCATTGCTAACAGGTCTTCTAGCGCGAAGATTTCTACTCGCAGACTACTGGGCTATTCTTATGGAGGGCAACAGGTAAGCTGACCAAGGCTACGTGAGTTGCCAGCTGTGCCGCACCCCACGTGACGAAAGCCCGTATTGATTGGTGTCATCTCGGCACGGCGTTAGCACGACTCTAGCATGGCGCTGGCACGTAGAACTCTAAACGCAACCTAGGTATGATCAAGAAATTCCTAATGCAAACATTACAGCATATTTTTGCACACTCGAACGATAATGCAAATCTCAGGGCTATCGTTGCAGCAGCCAGATCTATTCAAGCGTATCGTACGCTGCAATGTCATATCGTAAGTGGTTAGATTGTATTTACTCTACATTTCTTGCAGTAATGTGCCTCATTCATTGTTCAGTACAAATGCGTAGAACATGCAATCAAAATCTAGGCATTCATATATTTGAAAAAAACTCATACAAGAGATTTTTTGCTGCAAATTCTTCTCAAACAAAATTAAACACAATTTTATAAAAACTGCAACCCATTATTTTTCTCTTTTGTTACAAATTTCACAATAAATGAACACACTGAGTGCTCTAAAAATTTTGCAAGAAGCTTCGGAGCTCAGCGCAGTGTTATAAACATGCTGCACAACCTAGGCTGACCCATTAATCTTACCCTAAAAATAATGAAAAAGCCATAGTTATTTGCATTGAAGTTTGATTCATACTACACACTTCTTGTCAAGTAAATATTCCTTCTTGCCAGGAATTTTGGAAACTTTATTTAGAGTAAAAATAAAACCTTTGAGTAGATATACTTGAAAATGTGACTATCCCGTAGGCGTATCCAATTAATACGAATTTGTTTTTCAACTGGTGTAAAGTTTATCATGAAACCATATTCAAAATCAAGCAAAGTTTCATCAAACCTTTTAGCATTTCAAGCGGACGAAATTTGTAAAAATACGATTTACGGGTTTCTCTTTATCAGTCTGTATCGCTCTGATGTGCGAATATCAAATTTCGTTATAGGCGTTACTAGAAAACTGATGGTTTTCCACTCCTAAAATATAGAATCAATTGTTTGAAAACCATCAGACCAGACCAGATTACAATTTTTCGAAAATTTCCGTGCGAAAACTATGGACAACCTAATACCTTTTATTTATGTCAAAGTTTGCAGAAAGATGTACTACAATTTCCCAAATTTCTGTCTCCACTGAGAAAAAGACGAAAGCCCTAGAAATGTAGGCGATTGCCGTTTCAAGCCTTTACAAATGCTGAAAGCGCTACAAACTTTTCACATAAAAAAACCGTACATTTGTAGCGAGTACAAGCGTATCACAAACTCAGCCTCCCTTTCCGTCTCCCTCAAAGAAAACGCACAGTTCCCATGGTGAAGTTCTGTTTCGTATGATACTGCAAAATGGAATCTAGTGTAGAAAAATTGCAGCTCGCGGAAGAGAAGTGATACGTCACTTTTAATCTTTGAGAAATGTGCGACGGCCCTTCAATTTGTCATGAATACGAAACGCGCTCTGTTTGAATGAATGGAAACTTTGTATTAGGTTTGCAAAAAAAAAGTTTTGACAATCTCAAAAATAACTAGATAACGAACAAAAGCTTATATAGTCAATGCCGATCGGCAACAAAAATGACATCTGATGCGCGAGAAGCAAAATGATTGAGAACGATTCGAGATAATGCAATTGCATACAAAACTTTAAGATGTACATATTCTTTTCTATGCTATTCAGCCTTTGCAGAACAGATATTCGCTTTGATTCTATGATGAGATCTAAAGAGGTAGGGCGCTAGTGTGCATATACTCCACACTCCGTCTCGCGCATTTCGATATTATTAGGTTGGCTAAAAAGTAAGTTCGTTTTGGCATGCAAATCTTCATAAACATTTTTCTTGTTTTCTATCAATGATTTTTTGTGGAAAAGTAGCTCAAAACTTCCTCTATCACATATCAGATATTTATCATTTTCTACCACCAGTAAAGACAGTTATGCCTCAACATGTCTCAATTTCCAAAAGCTCAATTCTTTGACTTCCTAATCTTCGTTTTCATGCTGTAATGGATGTACAGAACAGCAGTTCGGTATTTGGATACAGAGGAGTTTTCCGTATTTAGTGAATACCAGTGAAATTTGTGATCTGCCAATTTCAAAATCTTCTATTGAAAAAAAAAACCAAATTTCCTCATTTTTGCGCACTATTAAAAAAATTGGAATTTCTCACTTCTTAACGAATTTTCAACCTTGCAAGAGAAGTTCTACTTAAACCCTGACACTCCACTTCCCATTGAAGTGCTCTTTCCAGAGATACTAAACACTGGACAAAATCTGTCTGCAGGTATTTGTAAGAGCCGCAAAAGCGACCGAACTTACTTATTAACTAACCTAATAGAATGCGTGGTCCAAATGGTGGGACTGGGCGATATAATAAAAACGTCCAAAACATTTCCCACCTTTCACTGACGCTATGAAATCTGTGCCAGCGATATGACCCAGTGACAAAAGCACTCTAGATTTTAAATACCAAAGAAGCGCCAAAAAGAGAAATATCAATGTAGATACGTGATGCATGTAGTATTTCCCACTCTCTCAGGTTTTGCACTACGAAGCTAACAAGGGAATGTCAGAAGTCGTCGAAGTGGCCAATCCAAGCGAGTTGCCCACCATTAGATGAAGCATTCAACGCTGATTTGAATCTGCATCCCATACCCGCCTCTGTGGACGAAGTTAGAGCCATATTTGGCGAAAAAATCATAAATAAGAATTGATTGAGCACATTGTTGCACTTTCAGCTCACCTTTAGGCTTCAAGAATATAACTAACCTAGCCTGCATACACTGGCCCAGCATTTAGCCGAACATGGCTCTGTACTACCAAATTTGCGCTTTGCATGCACGATTTCTCAATAGAATAACGGCCTTTAATGGCTTATGATTAAGCCCACTAGGCGCTAAGCAGATATGGAATACAGATTCGAAGTCAGCGTTTCATGCTGGATCTAATAGTAAGCAACTTGCTTGAATTGGCTGCTTCGATTTCTGACCATTCTCTTGTAAGTAGGATTTCGGGAATAATAGAAAAAGAACAAGGCAAAGATCCAAAAGACAATACACGTCTAGTTCTAAACGTGCTTTCATTCTTCTACAAGACATGTGGATAAGAGAATTGAGAAATGAGAAAAGCGGCGAGGATAAAGGGCGTGAAAAATAAAATGATCAACAAGAAAAAATCAGCGAAATACTCTCTAATTCAGCTTCGTGATCTTCCGATTCATCTCACAAGCAATCTACGTGCGTTGGGCTCTGACTCAAATAAATAAATTGCACCCGTTCTACGTTTCCGTAGCTGTGGGAGGACCAGCAATATTCCTCATCATCAACGGAATGTTATTCTTCAGAATTTTAGTATCAGATGGTTATTTGGATAAACGATGGAAAGCTAGGGCAGCAATCAACAGGTTTGTAACAAAACACAGAAAGTGAAGTTTGAACAATGATTTCCAGAGATGACGACAAAGACGATCCCAAAACTGAGAAGAAGGCATTGTGAATAGGTCTTCGAGAAAACACAAAGCATTTTACAAGAATTACGGTTAAGAAATTTACTTATGAAAGTACTATCAACTCCTTAATGGGTATGTAAATAATTTTGTGTTATGCATACAAAATATACGATTGAAGAGATCGTACATTTGAAGCGTTATGGATGGATCAAAACCATGTTTACTTTGTAGAGAAAAAACTGGTAGAAATACTATAACCAGGACAGTGTGCATCAAACATCCGTAATCTTTAATTAGCTAATCTTTTGACGGAGTTATCCATAGGCAGACGACGAAAATGTACAGCTCTAAACCTTGAGAAGCCAACCATACTGACTAAAGAAGAAAAAGTCACAGCGAAAAACAGGGGGAATTGCGAATAAGTTTGGCCAACGTTGATGACCCTTCGTAAGCGAGGAAGCGAGAGAAGAAGAAAGTATATATAAAAAGAAATTACCTCAAGTACCGCGCCAGCACTTCCGCAAGCGATTGGAAATGAATCGCGAGTAAGATAGATAGAATTCAGTCCCTCTTCGGTGGTCCTCAGCTCAGCATCAGTCATCTGGACAACATTCAAATTTTCCCCACAAATCAAGCAAACAGATCTTTCTCTTCATAATTCCGTAAGGTGTCATTATGAGGTTTGATTATGTTATAAAAACGAATTCGAGTGATGACTACGAAAGTTTTATTACCTCCGTAGTTCGCCTCATTTTTTGTATGTAGGGTCTCTCATGTACAGCCTCCAGCTCGGATTCGCTAGCAAAGCGTTCATTCAGAAGTACCTCACATTTGGACGTGAGCCCAGAACTTTCCAACTTCGCCAAAATCTGTAATCATTGACATATGAGAATCAAATACTGGATTACGAGGGAACTGTGAAAATAATGTGAGAAGTTAGCATTTTGTCCTCACTATGTTGGAATGGACTGCAGACATACCATTTGTGTTCTAGCCGGAACTTCCGGATGATCATCTTCAACTGTACTGAAGTGTTTGGACGTGTCACCGTTGTGAACGAGTAACATCTTTGAAGGAGAGGGCGCTGCATAGATCCATATCAAATAATCGAAACACATGGACAAATGCTAGAAAAACTGCATCAGCTTACCTAGAGTTGCCCACTCATATTTAACAAGATTCTCTTGCACGATGTTGCCAGTATTTTCTTTTTCTTCCTCCTTGGGCGGATCGTAGATTACGGTGGGATGATGTCTGCAAATGAATCAAGTAGATGAAACAAAAGTTAGCTTTTAAAAAAATTGGACTGTGCAAGCGAGAACTACTACTATAGCATCAACAAATCCATCACAAAAAACTCAATGGGTAAGAAAGATATGTTCGGACTTCTTCAGGATAGGAACGGTGTGAAGAACAAGGATAGGAAGTTCATTAAAAAAATCGGCGAACACCGACCAACAGATGCTCTTCACGTTAGAAAGTAAGTGCGCTGGGAGAGAAACCAAACTGTGTTAAAGTGTACACAACATGAAGAATCTAAACGGCAATTTTCTTTTGAAATAAAACAAGGAATGGATGTCATTAGAAACGTATGTAGTGATATAGTAGAGAGCAAATAACAAGAGGTGTGATGGTCTGAAAATGTTTTCAGTGGAGGGAAGGGTGGGGAGGGACTTCGAAAAAATTACAGAGGATTTTGCATCTCACAAGCGACAGCCATTTGTTGATTTATAAATGTTAACTGAACCAAAAAAAATTCGCGACTGAGCAATTTCCTCCGCCGCCTACAATTAGCAACTGAGAGAGACAAGCAAATAAAAAGTAACTCACAAAGTCCAGTGTTTGCTTTTACTATGCGTGCTGATGTAGTAATCGAAGCATGTCCAGAATCCTCTCAGAAGAGATATAACGTTGAGGCATGACACTACGGTGCTAAACAGCAAAAAAATCTTTTCCCAATAAAATCAAAGCTGTACATACTGCTGTAAATAGTGCGCTCCGAATCATTTGATGCTCAACTAAACCGATCGTAACGAAAACACAAAGAAAAGATGAGTTAACATCAAGATAAGGTTTGTCATGAATAATTGATTGTTATCCAAACATGATGGTCGTACCTGGCCTTCGCAGGTATTGACAAAGTAATTGGCAATGGCTTATACCCACAGAGAACCCGCAAACATCTATGTACACCAACGGACTGGACACTGTGATTGTATCCACCCTAGGGAGATATTTGTGACGTTGTAGAGAAAAAACAGAGCAGCTATCAATGATAATCTGAGCCCTGCACATCGAGAAACCAGATGGAAGCGATCAAAAAGCAAGCACCTCAATTTATACCTCAAGTAACAACAGCACCTTCCCACGGGCTAGTGAACTCAAATGATAAATAATGTGTGAATAACCATCTGGGGATAGCCGCATCCCACCAAGGGGATCACCATCACATGAGTCATAACCTGTAAAGCGTAGGTTGTTAATGTATTGGAAGATAAGATACCTGATACCTGCAGAAATGATAACAAAATCAGGAGCAAACTCGCGTGCCAATGGCATAAGTACATTCCAGAGTATGGCCATATAATCAGCATCACCACAGTTGGGCTGCAGATAGACACTTTATAAATATTTACTACAACATCAGCACTTTGGTTATTTCGATCAAAGTACAACAGAGATAAAATTCATGTCAAAAGAGAATGCTAATAAAAAGTTCGGTACTCAGACATCGAAGGCTTGAACGGCTCACTTACCTCATTTAATGTGATATTCACATTATAGCCTATCCCTTCTGACTCGCCTATATAGTCGAAATTTGACTCCCTGAGATGCGGCCAAAACCTTCCATCATCATAGCGATGAATAGAGAATACCATTACACTAAACGCTATTGACTATATATATTGGCTAAGAGAAAAAAAAGGAGATGATGGTACACTTATCGGAAAAATGGAACAAACCGCTTATCATCATAGAAAATTTGCTGAGTACCTTGTCCATGATGTATGTCGAGATCAACTATCAAAATCCTGTAAAGAATATGATGAAGTGTAAATATAAAAGATGGAAAAGGTGCGCTTATTTCATTAGGTACTCAAACTTTAAAAACTCCAAAATCTCAATTTAGTTGGGAATTTTGCTCACAAGAAGATAGTCAGAACTTAACCCAGCCATTCCACACAAGCTGTATATCATCGGACTCTCCTGAAGACAAATATTTCAAATATATGTTCTTTATCTGCCAAGCGACTATCTGGGATGAATTATGAGCGTTCATATATGAAAATTTTTTTGAGTTTCGACGAATGTATCTCCTTGAAAGGTAGCCTGATAGCGCGGATTTACAGTGGCTATGGTTATTTCAATTACAGTGAAGGAGCACATTCACCAAAAACCTGTATAAGGGTTTTTGAAACGTATTTCGTGGAACATGCGCCATAGAACACTTAACAAATCGCACGCTTAAATGCTCATAACTCCTCCCAGATTGTCGCTTGGCAATCAACATGTGTTTGTGCAGCATTTCAAGACGAGTCCGATGATGTAAAGCATGTATGGTACGGCTCGGTTAAGTTCTGACCATTTTCTGCTCAGTTTATACGAAATTCTGTTACAAGACAACTGTACTTCATGGTGTTTTCTTTAAAAAGTTATAATGCATATAAAAAGCACGTTTTAGGGATTATGACTTTTCTAAGTGGTGCGAAACCGTTATCTCGCTAAATAAGCCCTACTATGCAAATGGACTTTTCATAGGTATCTAAACTGTCAAGTCGCAAAATCTCCGCTACATAATGAAAAATCAAATTCTCGGTAACATTCAAAAAGTAGTGCCAAAAAATGAAGAGACTTTGCACGATGCGAAACAACAATAAAAAGTAAAATCAGTCGTAAAAAAATAAAAACTCGAAACAGCAAAAGTCCTCATACGCTTCGCCCAGCAACGAGATGAGTGATAAAGAGTTAGGGAGATGATGGTCTCTCATGATTTAAGGAAATACGAAAAATGACTTCTAAAACTACCTGTCAGCTCCGAAGTTGGATGCTGCCTCAGCAGCCTGGGCGGCATTATTAAACAAACAGAATCCACAAGCAGAGTAACGATCTGCGTGATGCCCTGGCGGTCGCACAAGAGCAAATGCATTTGGGATCTGAACAGAAGAAAATAACTTCAGCTACGGATATCGATCAAAACCACCTTATCTTCAACGATACTTTCTGCTAGCCAACGGCAACATGAAACAGCCGACTTTGCAGCTTCTATCGAACCCTAAACAGCGATAAAAGCTGCTGAACATGACAGATGAGGTGCTCCATCCCCTACCGGCGTCATAAACACAGAGTCATAATCTTCACATAGATGATTTAGAGATTCCTGATCCATAGATATAGCCTCCTTCAACAGCCTATTCACATGACCTTCGGCATGCGTTTGCCGAAGGTCCAAGTCATCAAGAGAAGGGAATGTCTAAAATATGATAATGCGGTCGGTCATTCATTCCGGCAGGCTCACATCGATTTCCTGGCATTCCTTTATCAGTCCGGTTTCGACCAGAAAGTTCCGGCAGACATCAATTCTGCTCGGATTCTCCGGATGTTCATCATATATGGGATTTCGATGCAGCTGTTGAGGTTTATTGAATCCCAAAGTTGTTTTGTATTCCAAAGATCCATGGTTATCCATGGATACTTCGGCTTGGAAATTGCAGATCCTGAGGGTCAGATCAGATTAAAAAGTGGAGTGAGTCAGGGAAAGGAAACACAGGTAGCAAATAGGTTGATGAGATGCAAGGAGAGAATTTCAACAATCAAACGATGCAATAATATAGCACCTATTTGTAGCATTCACGCATGGGTCTCATAAACGCTGGTTCTTTTTGCCATGTGCTACGTTAGAAAAGCAAAATACGTTACAGGCGAGATTCAAATGCCAAGAGGGTACAGCAGTGTTTTATGACCAGAAAAACCCTCAAAATTCAGTCCACTTGAGCTATAGCCAAAACGAGCTTCACCAAAATAGGGTGTCTTAGGAGGACGTAACTACGTCCTATCCGCGCTACTGTGTCAGAAATAACGCGTCTTGCTGATGGCCATGGTAATGGCTTCATGTGGTAAATAACGTAGCCATCCACAGCCGGAAAAACCGCCCTTAAACCGCCTCACCTCTGTAGAACGAAAAAGAGAGGCAGTTTGAGTCAGGAAATCAGAATGCGCAAATTAAAGGTGCCCTCAATTGTGTAAGCTAGGGCAATCGTATGTAATACAATTGAGTAGATTCTCCGCTTAATATAGTGTGTTTGCACTGAAGGTGAAATGCGGTAAAATTTGCGTGAACAAGTAGCCACGCCAATAATGCCAACATTTTGCGCACGCAAATGCCTTAAGTGCAAGCACACTATATCAAGCGGAAGTCTACTCGACTGTATAAACAACTTGGCTCTATTGTTGACGGATCCATCTTAGGCGCAGCTACTGCAAGCGATGTTTGCATAAACACTCATTTAGCGGAAAACGCATACTGCAAGAAAGTCTCTCTCGACCTCGAGCCGTATTTATGGCGTCGAGGGTTTCGGTTTTGAGCTGGTATTTGCGAATGGCTATAGAATTTCAATCGTACACAGAGCTTCCAACGATATTAATCGTCGTACTTGTCGTTTTGAAACCCAGAATTGGTGCCCATAGCAACCTAGCTGGCATACCCGACTCCCATGGCCCTGTCAAAACACCATGGTAGAGGTCACCATCCCTAATTCTGTACAGGCTTTCCCTGCGCCCACTTCTGCATGTCAAATCAGCATGTCCACTTACCCCCTGTGCCAACTACAAGCCCGGTAGCTCAAACTTTGAAGAACCGATAAAAATCGATATCGATTGATGACAAAAAGCATCGGCTTCCAGATCTGTGTGGAGGTGGAGTTCTGCCAATGCGCAGCGTGGCGGTTTTTGCTAGCGAGAGAGAGTACAAAAGCAATGCTGTAGCTTGGAGGTTTAATAAGCTTATTCGTGTTATTAGGCAAAGTCTTTTGGTCCAAAAAGGGTTTAGAAATAGAGATTTCTGATTCGCACATACATATGTAAGCACATACAGACATACAGAAAACATACGTTCAGCTTTATATACACTAGCTAAATATATAGCTAGCTCTGTAGCTTTCTAGCTCTATATAGATTTGTATACCCTTTAGATCAACGAATTGGCGGCTGGAAGGCGACCGCTCGCATCCGCGACGCAGTCTGCGTCTCCCTAAAAGTGCTCTCTATGCATGATTCATTTTCTAGCCTTTATTAGGTCACGAAGCCTCGCCTTCCAGCTGCCATTCCCGTTGAATTAAAGAGTAAGACTAGCTTGCTTTCCCGTCCGCTGGACCGTGGGCCTGACAAATTTACATAATTATTCTGTCATGACTTATAATAAAGCGCTATGCGTCTGTCTGTATGGCTGTCTGTCACGAAATTCATATAGCGAAATGCGATATACTTGGGGAAATTCGAAATTTTTTTCAAATATTCGAATATCGAATATATTCGAGAACTGAAAATTTCGAAAACTCGACTATCGAATAATATTCGAAAATCGAAAATTTCGAGTATTCGAGTATCGAACATCATTCGATTTTCGGATATCATTCGAAGAATTGAATGTCTATGTGATATGATAACATGGTCAAGCGCGTAATTTACGAGTACTGTGGGTCTGTGTAGTTCCCTTTTATACGACTACTGCTCTGCAATACATGAAATACTCTTCATTTCTGGACAAATATGTGCTTGCAAAAACTCTGAGCAGATTTCAACCATCAAAAACATGAAAATCTTCCTCTTCGATAGCGAGTCCTTCTGAGTCTGCGGAGTACGTTTCTTCTGAGCTGCTATAACTTTCATCGCTTTCTTGAGGACATCCGTAGCGCGATACTTCATGCCGAGTCCATGCTTTCGAATCTCTAAAATATTTTATTAATCGAGTTAAACTACCATACTCTGTGACACCTTCTCGTATCTTTGTTATTATTCGCGTTTATCATGATAAGCAACCTCGCGTTTTCTGCCATCAGTTTGCCCCGTCTTTTGTTTCCGTAAATGATTCCGGCAGTGCTGAAACATTACTTAGTGACTTGTTGTTGAAACTTTCAAAGCAGGTATACCTGAAAAGGCGTTCACTATCAACGTAGGTGCAGGGAGCCACCAGGTACTTTGAGGCAGAGGAGGCTAGCAAAGGAAACTGCGCTTGATGGGATCGTCACCAGCAAATGGGGTCCGCGTCGAGGCTGGGGGGGGGGGGCATCTCCTTTGTTCAATTGCATCGTAGACTGTTGTAATTCCATCTAAATCAGACTAAATACGTGTATGCCGTCTGAAAACTTTCCCTACTTGTAGATCCTCCTCTTGCATTTGAGAGCCACACTTGAGAGCTGAGAGCTCTTGCATTTGGGAGCCACATTCAGGGCCCGGCACGCGTTGGTTTGGAGCATTTTCAAAAACGAAGTCCTCTATGAATTCGCAAAAATTTACGAAGTCGCTTTTGACGTAAAAGTCAGTAGGAAAACCCTTGTTCAATCGACATAACAAAACTTAACGACAAAAAAGCAAATAAAGCGGGTTTGGGGTACCTAATATAACAAGATAGCAAAAAAACATTCTGAGTGGATTCAATTTCTGAGTATGGTACCATTTTAGTGTTCAGAACGTTGAAAACCTCTTAGCCCAACCAAATCTGTGACCTCAACAATCTGGCCATGCATTTTTCGCCACATAGTTCAAAGGACACCGCATGTGATTGAAGCGCGATATCTATCAATGCTTTCGTTCACGCTATTTTTGGCTCAAAAAAAAGAGGAGAGGCAGTGGTTTATTCGCTCTTTTTGCTGGGGGTGGTGCAGGAGGAACCAAAGGGCTGCCGCCTGTATCCGCAGGAGATAATTAAGAGCGCGAGCGCTATGGAGAATATTTGACAAGAATCCAAGATAACTTGGTAAAGACGTCCTCTAGGAACAAATCTTCATAAATTTGCCTGGAGATGACTTTGAAAAATTTTAAAAACAGATTTGTAATGCAAATTGGAAGGCGCATTCACTGGGCCTAAAAGTAAATGAAAATTTGGATTTTCCACATACTCTCTTCTTTAAACCTGGGCATGTTGTATCGGATATCGTGTATTGTTCTTCTGCCAACCAGGTTTGTGGTGGATCTTTATTGACCTTACGTTTCGACTAATATCGTCTTCTTCGGAGGTCTGAAAAGGAATTGCGGTGATATTATCTGTTAGTCTATAGGACCAAACGCCTCATCAGACTTCCGTCGTTTAAACCTCGTCTGGGCGCAACGTGCCCAGAAACAATCCAAAATGGATTCGCCAACCTCTAATCCACCATGGAGTCAGTAGTCCGCACGGACGTGACGGACATCTTTGAGGTTGCTCAGTGAGTCAAGGACTATATATACTGTGCGGTTTAAGGTCACATAATGACATAAGAGGCAAGAGATCAGTCGTTATCGTCACGCGCTCATTTTTATTGTTCACGCCCGGATTTCCGGCGTAGACCAACGCGGTCTCTAGCATTTTTCGTGCTGAAATCTCGACCTCCTGCGCTAAAATTGTACACTTAACGCTAAAATCGTCACCATCGTGTGCCTCAATCTTATGTTTGCCCAACGGTGATGACACGTTTCCTCGTCTTTTGTTAGCCAGGTGTTCTTTCATTCTAACACTAGAATTGACAATACTACCAGGAGTTTTGAACCTGGTAGTATTGTCGAGTCTTTTGACGTAACGTCACTATACACCAATGTTCAAGACAATGACGCTTTACAAGCTCTGTCGGAGATGCTGGATGAATATCATTCCACCATGGTAACCTTTGGCTTGAGCAAAGCGTGCATACTGCTCCTCATAAAAGAATGCTTGAATTGTAACATATTTAAGTGGTCGGGGAATTACTATTTTCAGACCAGAGGACTTGCGATGGGCCAGAGGCTCGCTCCAGTTCTCGCGATTTGTTACATGAGTAAGATTGAGGAGCCAGTATTAGCGCGCTTGCCATTAATGTACTGCCGATACATCGATGACTGCTGCATTGTGACGTCAACACAATCCGAAATGGATGAGTGTTTTGGAATTTTAAATCAGCAGTCGCAGTACATTAAGCTTACACGCGAGACTCCGCACAGTGGATGGCTTTCCTTTCTAAACACCCAGATAAATTTGTCTGACGGTACTGTTCGAATTAAAAGGTACCGAAAGGAAAGCTCCAAGAACATACTCGTTCAGGCTACATTAGCACATCCTGCGGCTCTAAAACGTTCCATTATTCGCAATATGTACAAAACCGCTACAGAAATGTGCACGGGTGAAGACGAAAAGTTTGAGTCGCAACAGTTGGCATCCAAAATTGCTCGCAGTAATGGCTACACAATTGCGCGATCTCGACAGCGAACATCTACACGATCCGAAAACTGTAACCTTACGCGCAGCAATAACAGTGACAACAAGATCTCTCTCTCTCTCTGTATGCCATTTGTCTCCGATAGTTTCAGCAAAGAGGTTAGCAGAAGCATAGTACGAGCACAGTTGGAAAGTGAGGTGATACTGGTCGACATTCCTAGCAATAACATCAGAAAGCGGTTGATCAGAAACAGAATGTACGACGTAGAATGTTTGTCAGAAAACTGCATCGTCTGCCCTTATGGGAAACTAGGTGACTGCGCGAAGGAGGGTATTGTTTATCAGCTGGAATGCTTGTAGTGTGGCTCAACGTATATAGGAGAGACTGGAAGAATTCTGAGTGTTAGAATGAAAGAACACCTGGCTAACAAAAGACGAGGAAACGTGTCATCACCGTTGGGCAAACATAAGATTGAGGCACACGATGGTGACGATTTTAGCGTTAAGTGTACAATTTTAGCGCAGGAGGTCGAGATTTCAGCACGAAAAATGCTAGAGGCCGCGTTGGTCTACGCCGGAAATCCGGGCGTGAACAATAAAAATGAGCGCGTGACGATAACGACTGATCTCTTGCCTCTTATGTCATTATGTGACCTTAAACCGCACAGTATATATAGTCCTTGACTCACTGAGCAACCTCAGTGATGTCCGTCACGTCCGGCGGACTACTGACTCCAAGGTGGATTAGAGGTTGGTGAATCCAATTTGGATTGTTTCTCGGCACGTTGCGCCCAGACGAGGTTTAAACGACGGAAGTCTGATGGGGCGTTTGGTCGTATAGACTAACAGATAATATCACCGCAATTCATTTTCAGACCTCCGAAGAAGACGATATTAGCCGAAACGGAAGGTCAATAAAGATCCACCACAAACCTGGTTGGCAGAAGAACAATACACGATATCCGATACAACATGCCCAGGTTTAAAGAAGAGAGTACGTGGAAAATACTTACTGATGTGACGCCGAAGTTCTACTCTCTGGTGCGCGAAGCACTGTCGCTTCGCCAAAAAGTGGTTGCGGTCCGCCAAAGAAGAAGAATGACGATCATTATTCTCCTTTGCAGTTCGATCAGTCTATTTTGAGGAATCTTATATATTAGGTTGAACCGAAAGTTCTGTCGCACTATTTTCAAAAAATCATAACTTTTTTCACTCACGGTGATTTTGCCAAATTTTATTAGAAAGCGTAAAGCATGTCGTTTCCAAAAATTCCTTGGGAGCTTCTCAATATGCTCAGGTTGCAGAGATAAAGATGAAAGAACGAGGTCATCTGAAATTCGGAATTTTTAAGCAAAAATTCTAAAAATCTAGAAACTGTGCGATTGAATCCAGATCATCCACCATCTTGAGTTTTCTTATATCTTATCACTAACTGAGTTAGGTTTGTGCTGATCGAGCTCTTCTTTCAAAAGTTATGATTTTTTGAAAGAAAATGCCGATAAATAGATTTCTTAAGATTCCTTAGGAAATTGATTTTCCGGCATTTTTTTTCAAAAAATCATAACTTTTGAAAGAAAAGCTCGATCAGCACAAACTTGACTCAGTTAGTAATAAAATACAAGAAAACTTAGGATAATGGCTGTTCTGGATTTTATCGCACAGTTCCTGAATTTTTAGAATTTTTGCTTAAAAATTCCGAAGTTCGATGATCTCGTTCTTTCATTTTTTTCTGTGCAACCTGAGCATGTTGAGAAGTTCCCAGGAAACCTTTGGGAACTACATGCTTTATGCTTTCTGACAAAATTTGAATTGCGCAAAACCACCGTGAGGGAAAGAAGTTATGATCTTTTGAAAATTGTGCAACAGAACTTTCGGTTACCTAATATAAAGCTGAATGTGTGTATGTCTGTATGTACGTATGTGCGAAATAGAAATTTTTATTTCTGAACCGATTTGGACCAAACTTGGCACACATATACTTCGGGGCAGGGAGCGTGTCAGTCGATATCGATTTTATCGATTTTTTGCAAAATTTGAGCTACAGGGCTGGGAGTTGGCACAGGGGGGTAATCGAGCGTGCTGATTGCAAATATGTTATTGACAGGGCCGGGCGGAGCCGGGTTTGCCAACTAGTGGCTAATAAATTTTAAGTCGAATCATTTTCTATGATCATTGTGCACCCGTCTCTTTGGCGTTTTATCCTGGAATTGCAATCGTAAAAACGCAAAAGATCGACCGATCGCTACCGCTCATCAGTTTGAGATGAATATTGCCGAAAAAGGAAAGAAAACTTACCTGAAAGGTTGCCTTCTCCAGGAATCTAGGATGAGGACGCCACAGGTGACGGTATGTGCAATGACACCCATGATCATATAAAATGATTCCAGTGGCGTACCGAGGGCGGGGGGGGGGGGCGCCCCCTCCCCCCCCCCCCCCCCCCCCCCCCGAGAACGAGTCGCGAAATATTTGAAAGTTACTTACATGAGTTATAAAATTGTGCAAATGACTTGTTTATTTTTGTAAACAATAAAAATGATTTTTGAAAATTTTTAAAAATCAAAATCCTTTCTTCAGATTTTAGGGGTTGGGGGCCCGCAAAAATTTTAAGAAGCTCCCCTAAAATTTTTTCGGAGTGCCGTGGCTGACGCCACGCACCTTCATTTGAAAGAAATTTTTGCCGCGCTCCTCTCGTGCCGAAATCCTTGGTGCGCCACTGAATGATTCGACTGTATGCCTGATCACTTTTTGTCCATCAATCCGCCTGCGATGCACTTCTTTCACGACCACAGTTAAGTGCAGCACTTCCGTTCATATCCGAGCAGCTCCGGAGGGGGCGCCCCTCTCCCTTTCGGTACGCCACTGGAATCATTTTATATGATCATGTGTGTCGTTGCACACACCGTCACCTGTGGCGTCCTCATCCTAGATTCCTGGAGAAGGCAAACTTTCAGGTGAGTTTTCTTTCCTTTTTGGGCACTATTCAGTACTCTGCGTTGATACCACTGCTT